AAAAATCAATAACTGCTCACTTATTTGGAAATACAAACTTTACATCCTTTAGATCGTTAGATTAATCATTGCACAATGGTATTGTCGCATGTAGCATGCGAGGTTATGAGATGTTTATCTCTATTCTTATTTCTTATATGTCTATCCCCTATGGTTGTCAATGGAATTGCTACTCCTTGATGCAGATTGCTCCTGATGAGTTTCCTCTTGCATTCTTCTTCGATAGTCCTTCCCTTTACTGCAACTCACTTCCTTGATTCGCTCGAAAGCAATCCCCTTGTTCTTACTCCTTTGACGATCGTAATCTCAACAAGACGTTCATCCTGTCGTCCGATCGAAATCGCGATGAGGATCCTATATTATACCATGGACTCCTATGGGAGTCCACCTTTCTTAATCCTATTGACGATCGTAATCTCAATGAGGATCCTATTATCTCGACCGCTCAGGAGCCTCTACTACTGATATCCTATCACCGGCAAAGCTATGCCGCATCTCCAGTAGACGCGATCGATTGATCCAAGTTAACAAACGACTCGATAGATCGATCCAAGTTAACAGAATTTGTCGAAAAAATGAGCTCCGTCTGCAATAATCAGGCTCGCTTGTGTGTCATGCCTTGAGTCAGCTTTATACCCGATATTATCGGTTTGAACTGCCTGAGTCATGCATGGCTTATTTTCGAAGAAAACTCCTCATTTTTCATTAATCGACGGAGACGCACACCTCGATCTAACGTACGAGAAAACACATTGGTCGATCGATCGCTCGTTCAGTTGTTGTTCGTGTGGCTGTTGGTCTCTGTTTACCCAGGACCGGCATTGGTCGTTTGAACTGGCTTGCAGTTGTTGTTGTTGTTCAAGCGAAAGATTCAAACGACGAGAACTCGCTTGCAGTTGATTCGCCGAGCTGTAATTCAAACGACACGACAAATTCAAACGACACGACAAATTCGCCGAACTGTTGGAAAGCTCATAAATTCCAGCTCAATTGACTCAATTGACTGGCTATCCACGCGCTCCTGCTCCTCCTCTTGTTGCCGATTTTGTTGCTGTTGCCGCTCCTTCTACTGTTGCCACTGTGCCTTTTTATGGCTGTTCTTGCATGCCATTGCTCTCTTTTGTTGATTCTCATTGATGGACCTTGACGACGCTTCCTCTGCCTCAGCATCTTCCATCTTCAACAGCAGCGCCAGATCAGCATCCTTGTTCAGTTCACAAGGCTTCAGACAAGCCTTCTTGAATCTGATCAATCATCCCACCATCTATCCCCAACCATGACTGCAGCACCATTGACGCAGTTCAATTCCAGGAGCTCTGCCGCACATTGGGAAAACCAAAGAAAGACCAAGCTTACGAAGCCCCTGACTTGGAAGCCGCGCTTCTAGAATAAGCCTGCTAATTGTAAAGCTGTAAAGCTGAATTGTAAGCTGTATCCCGTCGCAGAATGCGCAAGAGAGGCAATGGCATTTCGGTCAAAGCATTGGATGCCAATCGAATCATGACCAGTTTCGTGCACTGTTGGATGGTATCGGGGAGATGGGTGATTTGGTTTCCCGTCAACATTAGCTTTTCCAAATTGGTGCATCTGCCAATCGAATCGGGAAGCGTGGTCAATTGATTATCCGTCAAGATGCACCATTGCAGTTGTGACTGCAAGGCATCCGGGTGAATGGACGTCATGCCGTTGCTACGGAACGCGACCATTTTGAGTTTGGGACAGTCGCCAATTATTTTGGGCATTTCCCGAAATTGGTTGTTGCTCAAAAATAAAATGGACAATTGAGGAAAAGTGGTGGCAAACTCCTTTGGGAGCTCGGATAAGCCACAATTCGGTAAATCCATTTTGACCACATGATGGTAGTTTGGTGTTGTTGCCTCCACTGAAGAGGGTATCTTGGCAAGCTCCAAGATCTTGGGAATTGTAATCTGCTCTCCCTCTGCTAGTTGACCTTCACTCTCTTTCTTGTCCACCTTCATCCTTGATTATTATTGATTGCTCTAGCTGTTGGAGGTCCTTGCTTTTATTGGAATGTTTCTTGCCTTGATGACAACTGAGCGGCGGAATGGCAATGATGAAGATTTCGCTTCCGATTTTTGTCTCTTAACGCAGTCGCGAATGCCTCAATCACGCATTGACCGTGGTTTTGCATCGATCCTCGACCCTTCCTCGCCCCGCACCACGTTCCATTTCAAAACACGTCCATCTCCGAAACAGGCCTCGGTGACGGGAGGAGCTCATGATGTTTTTCTACTTTTTTGAAAAAATGTCCTTCCAACACGAAGCTAGAAAGGTCTGCATGATTGTATGGCAAGAATATATGGCAAGAATTCTAGAAGCAAGGCCGTGAAGCTGCAGACTCCTTTGGTTCGGGCGGCATGATGGCCAGTTTCTCTTGAAGGAGACGGTCTATATGGAAAGCATTGCTGTCTCACCACCATGTCGGGAAATCCTTTCATTCCTCCGCGTAGTGTGCGCCGTCCCATGGCTTTCGGCAAAAACTCTATTAATAGCCTGGGACTATCATAAGAGTATTCATTCACGGGTAACACCATCATGCGCGTACTAACGTAGTATGTCGGCCAATAGCCGCACCGCACCAATCGTTGGGGAGCACCGGTACCACTCAAGTCAAATCGGCCCACGGCTCATTCTCAAGCTAACTCGAGACACAGTTGTCGAAACGTAGCACTTCGTTGTAACAATTGCATGTGTTGGGCAACAGCCTCTCCAAGCAAGCAATTCTTTCTTTTTTGGCTTCCGCGCATGATGAGTCCGATTGACGAAACTGAACCTGGCAACAGCTCCTTCGAAGTGACATGTGGTGTAGTTTGGTGAAGCTTTCATCTTATAGCCAATGAAATGCCTGGTTTTTCATGCCTTGTGCTCAGTGTTCTCCGTGTACTTTTCATTGAAGGATTATGATCCTGATGCAGAATGATCCCATTTGGAAAGCCAATGGGAGAGAGCTACAACATCTGCTGCCTCCCAGTGTTGGGCTCCTGTTGGTTGCACTGGTTTGGATTTGCACATGATAATGTCATTTTGGGGCTCGGAAGTGTTCATGGCGTGATCAGACTCCTTGGCTGCTACCGGTATGCTGTCACCAACCGAGGGTTCTTGGATTTTCAATTGCGAAGAGATTTCCACAAGGGTGGACTGGGCATTAGCCCCCTGAGGAGATTCAATATCCTGTTCTGGCTGTGAGGCTTGCGATTTGTGCTCCTCTGGTATGGCCGGTTCCTTTGGTGTTGGATTGTTTTCTGATGCGGTTGCTTGTGGAGCTTCAATAAACTGTGCTTGCTGACAGGATTGCAAATTGTAATCGGCTGGCAAGGCCAATTCTGATTCCTCTGGAGGTGGATTGTTTTCTGTTATCGTTTCTTGCGGAGCTTCGATATCCTGTTCTGGCTGCGAGGCTTGAGTCATGTATTCCTCTGGCATAACCAATTCTGCTTCCTCCAGAGTTGGATTGTTTTCTGTTATGGTTTCCACTTCAGGTGGTGTTGCTTGCTGACGATTCTCTTCCGTTTCAAGCGCTGTTGATTGGGTTGACTCATCCTTATTCTCATCAACACTGCACATAGTTGCTTTTTGCCGAGTACATGCAGGAGTGTTTCTCTGGTACCAGGGTAAGTCAGGATTACCATCATCCTCGGCGAACTCTTCCTCATCCGACGACGACGAACTGATTTCGTCCGAATCAAGGTTTCTGTCATTCTGATGCTGGGATGAGAATGGCAATGATAGTAACTGGGTCACACGTCGTGCGCCTGGGAAGGACCACATGGCTGCTGATGCGGAGTTTAATGCAGAGGATATGTGTGTGGATGTTTGTATATTGCTGTTGATGTTGTTGGGTGGATCCATTGGCTTGACCACAGCCCACCAGGTTGCTGTTATCCAGGACACTTGTGGATGACTTCGTTTCCAGCTCTTGACTCGATATTGAATGTAGATGACAAAATTGCATGCTCCTTGGAGAGGATACAAAAAGAAACCTACAAATGCCAGCAGAAAGATGGCTGGCTCGTGAGCTCTTTCTTCAAGATCTGTATATGGCACAAGTACATTGTAGACTGTTGGCCACAAGAGTGTGTTGAGTAAAGCGATATAGTAGGCAATGGCTTGCCGTGCTACTCTGCGGACCCGAGCTTGGCGCGGATCCTCTTGTCTTGCCCGGTTTGAGGAGGAGGAGGACGGAATGGCATGAGATGTATCGTGGGTTCGGCTGGCTTGAGTGATAACGTACACATGGCGATAGACCATGTAGGTTGCTACACAGCCCCCTCCTGCAAAGATTGTCAAAATGGCAGTGTATATCCAGATAAATGCATCCCCAAAAGCTGAACAGAGACCTGTATTTTGAGTGGGCTGAATTGCATCTAGTCCAACAGCTAAGGAAACGTAGGTTGCCACAATAACAAAGGCCAGAGCATATGCTGGCTTTTCCAGTTTCTGGCTTATTTCCCATTCTCTCCAGCCATACTTGGTAGTCATCAAGAAATAGACACTGAGATAGTTGCACATGATGCAAGTAGAGAGGCCCGTGATTATGACGAAAACACCCAAAATGGTACAAGTTGTTGTATTGCCCTTTGATAGGGGATCACCTGCAGAAGATGGGGACATCCATCGACCTGCTATGAGAACTAAGGATAGCATTATATCGGATGTGCTCAGTGAGATCATCAGTCGTTGGTAGACTGGATTGTGGGAAGACAACTTCCTTCGAGCCACAGTGACAATCCCTGTTGACCCAATCAAGGAGAGACTGGTTGAGAAGCATATGGCAGAATGAAGCAGGATAACTTGGAAGTCTGAGAGAGTTGTCTCATCCACATAAAAGTCAGTGGTTGTCTCATGATTGCCTCCATCCGCAGCCATGGTGATCGAGCTGTTTTCATTGAATTTGGCCAAAAGAACGGTTGTCTTCCGTGGTAGGAATAAAGATGTAGTAAAAGGGAAGTTACTAAAAGGTCTACTCTAAACCCCCGTTATTACTAAAAGGGAAGTCACTATGGATAATCCTCCTACAGTCGTACTCTAAAACCCCCGTTGTTGCTGTTTTAATGTTGGTCTGGGTTACTCCGCATTTTGTCTGTTTGGGAAAGTGTTTTGGCGATTAAGTGATTTTTATGTAAATGTCTACACACTGTTAGTAGACATAAGTAGACAAAGTAGACATTGTGCGACTTTAGTAGACATAAGTAGACAAAGTGATACATTGTGAGACATTGGTAGACAAAGTGAGACATTGTGAGACATTGTGAGACATTGGTAGACAAAGTGAGACATTTTGGTACTGTTTTACTGTACTGTGTAGACAAAGTGAGACATTGGTAGACATTAGCACACAAAGTGATACATTGTGAGACATCTGGAGACATTGTGAGACATTTGTAGACATTGTGAGACATCCGTAGACATTGTGAGACATAAGCCACTTTTACAAAGGAGCATAGAACATTTAGGCAACTCTGTAATCAGATACAATAGCCTTAAATAGACAAAATGCCAAGTAACCCTGACAGCACGTGCCACGAAAGCCGCGACCACGATCGTGGCTTTCCCTCTTCCTCGCCCCACGCCACGTAAAACACGCTCCATCTCTGAAACAAGCACAGGGAGGACCTCAGATGTTTTTCTACTCTTGAAATGCCGTTCCAACAAGTCAGTATGGTTTGTACCAGCCAGCCAGCTATTAATAGTAAGGCAAGAAGGCCAGGAAGTGTGCAGGCAAAACAAGCAAGGGACGAGCTCAAACGAGGAAGCAGAAGTGGTCGGGGGCATCAATGACGCACAAGGCACAAGCAGCCAAAATGAACCCTAGCTAGCTACATGTAAATGTAGTTAGCAAATATTGATTCAAAGCAATGAAACGCCTCAATCAAGGTTGGCTCTAACTTGCACTTATTGCATCAAAATTTGCAAGTCATGATCCATCGATGGATGCGCGCCTCTCACACTGGTTCCTCGTGTGCTCCCTGATGCCACCTCCATCTTCTGTGACGAAGCAACATTTGCGGTACTAGCTAGCAAGCTAACCGATTGTGCATTGTTCCTAATACCGGTAACAGACCTGAATCGAATCAAATTGATCCAAATGGTCGAGGGAACGGAAGCGATGGTCGCGCGGGTACCCTCGTTTCTTGGTAGGTATGGGCAAAAGTAAGTAAGTGGAATCGAGTGACGAGTCGAGTCGAGGCTAGTCCAGTCGAGTGGTCCGAGCCCAATGCACGCTCTATCTCTGAAAGCAGGAGATCCAGTGATGATGATGCTTTTCTGCTTGATTGAAGTTTACATGTCACTCCAACCAGGAAAGGTTTGTACAGTACCGTGTGGATTATATACGGTAGCAAGAAGGTCGTGAAATGTGCAGGCAAAACAAGAAGTGACGAGTTCAAACGAGGAAGCAGAAGTGGTCGGGGGGGGAAGCTGGTGGGAAGGTTCTGCTTTACATGTACATGCACAGGCAAAGAATGCATTGCTCCACTCTTTGACGATCGACCAGCCAAGATCCATCTCGGCCTTGCCGACGTCCTTCGACAAAACTTTCCTGCCAAGAATCGCCTTTTCTTCGTAAAGGCAAGCACCCAAGGAATCCCGTTTCGTTGAGTGGAATACGAGTAGTACGTACAAATAGCAAAAGGTTGCGAGGAGACTTGAACTCCCACCCTTCGCTGAATGAGACACGCTGTTTCAAGTAGAAATCAGCTTAGAAGAAGCGATGCTCTATCTATTAGAGCTATTACAACCTTTGACATGCTTTCAATGCTTGTCTGGCGACCTAAGTCTGTAAGACTGCAGGTAGATCCAAGTTTCGTGCAGACGTGCCCCAACAACTTCGGAGAAAGATGCCTCTGACTCGATCGACTCTTGTGCTATTGGCATCTCTAATGGCTTTGTTACGTGTTGGACCGCGTTCGGTTTCTGGATCATTTCAAGGTTGAATAATGTTCTGCTAATGGTCACCGTATAGTCACAATGTATTAAGACTTTCTTTGGTCATAGAATATGTGTGACTGGCGTTAGGCGAAGAGACTGGTAAGAGTTATGGAAGCCATCTTTTGTTTCTGTTTTCCTATTGTCATGTGGCTGATGCCGCTGCGGCTATTTTCGAACACCACGAGTAAAGGGCGAACCAAAACGAAGCATGTTACTCGGTCCGCAAACAACGCAACAACATCCCATCCAAAGAAGTAAAAGTGTCGATTGTCTAGTGGCGACTGTCCATTGACAACCATCCCAGTTCGAGAAGGAGACGGCACTAGTCAAAGCATCATCTTTCAGCCATAGATCCAGCAAGCAGCAGTCTCACAATTCGGAGCCCCACAGTCAGATAGACAACGAGAGTAGAAGAGATCATACATTCAGTTGACGATAAAAGGAAGAAGAAGAAAGATGAATGACTCTGTATCGATAGGAAGCGACGAGATGCTACCAGTGGGAGCACACGTGAGGGAAGAAGAAGAAGAAGACACGAGCAGCATGGCGGATTGCGAGGACGACGACGACGACTGCTTGCTCATAGGAGGTCCTTCGACGATGGAATTGTCTCACGAAGAGATCGACCGCGCGTTGGCCATCAAAGCGGCCGTGGAAGCGGATCCGTCGTTGGACAATCTGAGTGACTACGAGTACGTGCAATACGCGTTGGCACATCCCGCGTCGGAAGAACGATCGGTGGGTACGATTGTGGCCGAGTACGTGTATGCGATGCAGTGCTTTCGTCGTGAGTATCGCCTCACGGACAGCGTGGAAGAAGGAATGCATCTCTTTGAACAAGCTGCTGCGCAACATCCGGGATTCTTTCTAGCGGTCGAGTACGTGTCGCAGAGTGGAAACTTTATCCATATTGACGATGTGGCTGCCTTTGATCCTCGCAAAATTGTGGGATGGGAAGAACGACGCAAGATTCTCGGTGGCATGTACTATCGATACCAGGGAGTCTGTTCCACCCTACAGGCCATTCGCTCGGGTGTCGCAATCATGGTAGAATGCATGGGAGCCAACTTTTCCAATTTTGATGCGCATGTACACGAACAGTTCATGGTCGAACTCTTTCGTTGCTATCCAAAACGACACAAGGAAGTGCTGTTCCTCAACAGTCCCACCGTCATTAATGTCGCACATTCTCTATGGAAAAAGTATCTATCACCCAATATGAAAAATGCCTTTCGATTGGGATATCAAATTGAAGGCATGGAGGGGCAACGCATCGATGAACTGTTCAAGACTCCGTCGCCCGAAGTTGCACAACAACACATGGTGCAGAAAATGGGACGATTCCTCAAGTTGAGATATCGAAATCAAAAGACATTTTCACTCAGAGCTGCCACGCCTTCCAACCGCATCAATCTCATGGATACCACCCCCGCTGCCAGTAGTTTCCTTTGATACAACTTTCATTTTTTCATTCATTAGCAATGGAACTTGGAATTTTCAACACCCGACCTACCTATTACCGTACAAGACTATTCATAAAGAAAGAGAGAATTCAATCGAACAATCACTGCCACATTTATTTATTCATGCAGCTAGATAGCTAGGGATGTTGGTGGATGCACAGCTAGCTAGACCTACCGTACTCCTGCAGGATTGATGGACGCTCTACGTACGGTGCCTGGCAGATAGAAGTTCATCAGGTTTCGCCTTTCTTGGCTGGCTACTCGATCCCACATGTCTCCGCGAGTACAGTAAAAGAGTAAACGTGTACCTTTTCGTTTTCTTCACGATTCTGGCAATCCCATCACTACGGAAAGCAATACCAATCCGTCGTACGATGCTTTGGAGTCGAGTTCGAGTCAAGTCGAGTCGCGTGCTTTTGTGGCGGTGGCCGGCATCTGGCTAGCTATGGCTGTGATTGGTTCTTTCTAGCTAGCCGGCAGCCATTGAACTGTCAGCTACGGTACAACCAAACTGATACGTTTTCATTCCAATCTTCATCCGCTGCTGTACATTATACGCACCACTACCGGCGCACACCTTGTGTACTTGCAGCAAGGAAGCCCAGGCCACTGAATGGCAAACCCAAGTTTCTGGTGACGAGAACCTGAGTTCTGGCTAGTAGCTCGGGCGTCGATCCTCCCCACCAGAATTCTTTGACCTCAAAGAATCATAGCACATGCTCAGCTCTTGACGTAGAGCCTTGCACACGTCACGAGCGCTTGGGCGCTATGACGAGGAAACAGAACTGTTTGAGACCATTGTAGTGCTTTCCCGGGCTTTGCTTAACGCGCAAGGAGACATGCGACCTACCTTGAATGGATCGGGGTCCCAACATGCACTCAACAGGTAGGTTACTGGTAGTGGCCAGTCCTTGTCAAATGGCAGTCGCTGATCGCCTTTGATCACGTTCTCTTTGTGTTCATCCGATGAAAGCTCTCCAAATGCCTTTTCCAGGCTCAAGAGTTCCCATAGCAAAATGGCATACGAATAAATGTCGGCACTGAGACTGTATGGTTCCGAGAGTGACACCTGGAAAGAACGCCCAAAGTTAGAACCATCACACCACTCGTTAAACCCATTCAAACAACTGACATACTTCAGGGGCCACTAACGAGACGACCATGAAGGTTATATGTGAGAGAAAGGAACAAAGAAGGGCCACACCGCCCTGCATGCTCTAGACAAGCAACACTTACTAAAACGTCTCGAACCAGTCCCTCCACTCATCTTGTACAGCCCATTGTCAAGTTTTTGGTATGGATCCAGCTCTTTTGCCAATCCGAAATCAAACAACTTCACCGTATTATTGTAGCCGAAACCAATGTTGTCTAGTGATTTTCATCAGATCTGTTGAGAAACAAGTCATTGAAATGTCACGATAAGCCATTGGGTAGCGTACCTGGCTTTAAATCTGTTAAACAATTTAAATGTAGCGGCCATTGTCATTAGAGCAATCACATAAAAACACACGAACTGTCAAATGTCGTACCTCGAAAGACAATTTCTAGTTTGTGAAGATGTTTCAAAGCCTGGGCAATGTCATAGGCAACCATTATCCGCTGAAAGTAGAGAGCTTTGAGAAGCTTTCGGTTGGTTGTGCTGGTTGTGTCTTTGGACCTCCTCCTTCTCACTTCTCTCCATACATCTATTCTTCGATCCAAGGTGTCGTATAATCGGTCAATTATCAAGAAATACCCTCCTTTGAAACCGGATGAAAATCCCGAAGCTCCTTCTGCTGCCACGCCATACAACTGAATAAGGCCGGGATGTGGGTGTTTTGCCAAGGCACTCAAGTATTTTGCTTCCATTAAAAGATCTGCTGCCCCGTTACAAAATTCGTCTGGATTTGTCATGGCATCATCACAAAGAAATTTAACTGCAAGCTTTTCTTTGGTGTTGGCGAGACGACTTCTCAGTTTTTCGATCGTTCCATTGGGTGATGGAGACAACAAGTCTATCCTGTGGAGCTCGTACACATTGTTGAAGCCACCCTTCCCCAGAAGCTCACCCAAGTTGGGGATAATTTCTTCTCTGGAGAAACTGGGCACGACATCATCAATATCGGAAATCAAACTAGATCTCTTGGTCATTTCCTCACAGACTCGAATTGCATACCGTGATGCCTTGTGACATACTTCTGGGTCCAGCTGAGACATGGTGGACATGATGGAGTTTGCCATGGTTAACAACTTGCTGATTGTCACAGTGGGACAACTGGACTCTTCGAAGCTGTGGAATGAGGTGGTTAATGATTGTCCAACAAATCGTTGTCTTCAGTGCTTATAGCTGTCTCGGCCAAGACACAGAAACTCAAACTCAGATAACGATTGGAAACAAAGATTGGATCGAGACAACTCTATTGGCACCCGAAGTCGATACGACTATGATACCCTCTCCAGCTCTGTTTCCCACCGAACGGAGCTAGCTAGACTAGTGCTGTGGGGTTGTTGCCGTCGTGGTTGTGTTGCAACAGCGCTATACTCGGACCGGTATTCAAAGTTATACCGTACCGGACATTTATGCAACAGTAGGGACATGTCACATTTCTGATTTAAATCTCAATAGTCTCCAAAGCATACCGGATTTTTATTAAACGTAATGGACCCCTTTTTTGCGCGAGCCATTTCCCGTCACTTTTGAACTTCGCTTGCTCGGTTCACTTCCACGGCGTCCGTCCACGGAACACACATCAGAGGGAGCCAACCCATCGCTATTTTACTCTCTCTACTAAAACCCACTACCAGGCACCTGATAGTAGCTAGCTAGTAACGCCATATTTCATTAGTATAACACCCGCCACCTCTGCATGCGTGGCTCTCCTGTCCCTGCTGGCACAATGAGCTACCGTCGTTCTCTCTGGGATGCCGATGGTGCACTTGCACTCTTCCGCTAATTTTGCTCCCTTGTCCTTCCTGGTTTTCCTCCATGCACCCCCCGCCCCCCTTGTTTTGCCCTGCTCGCGTCCTCATTGCTTTCCCCGTATGCCCACCACACCAGCCCCCCACCACCGCAGCCACTGCTTTGCCTAGCCTCACCTTAACGTATCTATTTAGTATTTATTTTATTACTGTATAACGGGGGCCATATTTGATTTATTTGCAATACACTTAAACCTATCCTGCTCTTCCTGTCTTGGCGTCCGGTGCTCCGGATTCTCCAAGCAGTGCTGTTGCTGCAGGAACGCCACTGGCAGCTGCGGATATTGACGGAGCCAAGCCCCAAGCGAGACGCCGTAAAGAGCTGGCTGCAAAAGGAGCCGCTACGATAAATGAGGTGGCTGAGGCGATGTTCGACTATTGTCTATCACCTCAGAGCACGCAGGTGCAGCAGCTCTTCCAGCCTGGGCGGCCGGAATTCAGGGCCAACTGAACAACATGCAGGTAGCTATTCAGGGCCAACTATATAAACAACATGCAGGTTCAACTTAACAACATTCGGGTGACATTCAGACCGACTTTAACAACATGCAGACCAACTTTAACAACATGCAGGGTCAACAGATCAGCATTCAGGCCGACGTTATCACCATTCTTGGCATAGTTCTGGGCCAACAAAACCTTATGGACAACATGCAGGGCGACGTGAACAACATTCAGGGCCAGCTTACCAATATATTCAAGGCCAACTGAACAACATGCAGGTAGCTATTCAGGGCCAACTAAACAACATGCAGGTTCACCTGAACAACATTCAGGGTGACATTCAGACCGACTTTAACAACATGCAGGGTCAACAGAACAGCATTCAGGCCAACGTTAACACCATTCTTGGCGTAGTTCTGGGCCAACAAGATCTTATGGACAACATGCAGGGCGAAGTGAACAACATTCAGGGCAAGCTTACCAATATGCAGGCACGCCAAATCAATCTCTTGGCGTTTCGTGTCGATTCTGCAATTCAGCTCCTGCACGACAATGCCAGAAACTTGCCTCCTTTGGCCAACATGCCTCAAAACAGAGTGGAATTGGACAATTTGACTGATGCAGACTTCAACACGCTTTATGCATTTTACAATATCCAACATGACCCCGTCGAAACCAAGAAGTAGTCTCTACGGACATTTGGGAATCCGAAGGTAGTGGTAGACGTGGAAGGGATCATACAGAAAACCACGAAATCTGGTGGGCTTGCGAGAGTTTGAAGGTGCCCAATATCAACAGAAGACACATGCGTTTCCTCTTCGTGTAGAGATCTGATGGTATGGGCCCTACAAGAGTACTCCAGAGTACCGTATCACTCCTGGTTACCCCTTTGTGCTCTTCTCCTGAAGAAACAAACGCACTGTGCATAACATGCAAAAATACAGTTTTCTACTACGTAGTTGGTGTTGGGTGCTACGGTACGGTATGGGAGGTAGGCAGTGAATAACAGCATAGCACACAATATTAATGTCATTCTTTTAAAAGGTCTCCTTGGTAAAGTAAAAGTGGAAATCAGGATCCTTCTTGGACAAGTCAAAGCTTACATCGGCCACGGAATCCGCCATGCGTTCGGGGCCGCACAAATAGATCCCACAATCGTTGCAGTTGATTTCTTTGCTCGCAACCTTGACCGATTCGAGCTCTTCTTTCCAGTTCGGCCGACCCACTTCGACCTGATGATGCGTGTGTTGGCCCAGAATAAGGTCAAAATTGGTCTCATGATGACGAGCACGAGTGGCATGATGGAACAACACCGCTCCCAAGTCGCGATCATCTTGTTTCATCGAGGTCAAAAAGTGACGAATCTGAATGCGGTTCTCGGGGTCGGCCTCGAAAATGTCGTCCATGATTTGAGTAAACCATTCAAAGCTATTCTGATCTCGGGTGGTCCAATAGAAAAAGGTTCGTTTCATCTTCCCGTGGTCCCTCAACAACTCACGCAGCACAGAAATCATGGGAGTAATTCCAATGCCGGCACCAATCAAAACGACCACGGGATAGTCTTTGAATCCTTGCGTCGAAGCACCCATGGGACCCTCGACTCGGACGACCAAGTCCCGAATGGCTTGCGGATTGGCGTGTGCTTCGGTAGCGTCGGGTGCTTCGTCCTGGTTGTTGTTGTTACGACACAAATCTCCCAGCAAATCATGCACCGCACCGGTCCAATCCCCCACTTTGGCAAAATGAAATTCAATGTAATCATCGCCAGGAGCCGATGTCAGAGTGAATGGATGCCATTCCACACGGGATACCTTGGGAATGTTCAAAAACGCGTACATGCCCGCTTTGATGAGCGGGTCCCAGGATGTAGGACGTTCCAGCTTGAGTCCAATGACGTTGCCCTTTTTGAGGGATACATCCAAAACCTCCACAGTGGACAAGGGCGTTTCTCTCCACACGCGAGGGATGATGTAGAGCAACAGAGGGCCAATGACCCAGTATACTGATTGAAATGGCTCCAATAGATTTCCAATACCATGACAGCACAGGGCGACCAACATTACCAACAGCAAGTGATGTGTACCCCAAAAGACATTGAAATGCTTTCGTCGAATTTGCGTCATGGGATAGGCCACTAGCAGACAGGATGTCATGATCAATCCGGTGATTCCCGCGGGTTGTTGCAGCATCAGGGCCCATCGTGCTCCGATACCCTCTGGGATTTCATCCCCGAGCTTGTTGCCAAACAAGGTAAAAATATCGGTTTCATCGGCACGGGCAAATCGATAAAAGTCGCAGATGTGTGCGCAGATGTGCGACGTTGCAAAGACAGCAATCGCCATTCCAATGACAATGTGATATTCCAAGACGGCGTCAAAGGGGAAATAGAATGAAAGATTTGGGACATGTCGTAACCTTGTCAAGGCATGACGACAAAGGGGCAGCAAGATCAAGGCACAGTTCAGATTCAAGCAGTTGGCACTCCCACGTGCCACAATGATGCAGGTGCCGAAGACCGCCAAGGCGTCGTCTCGGTTGCTGTACACGGATGCTTTGTAGGTGAAAGCGATAATGTTGGCACACATGTAAACGATGAACCAAAGGTATTCGAGTTTCTGGGACTTCCATCTTGTGTGAGCATGAACCCAAACTTGCTCGTTTTCTACCTCTTCCAACTGGAAATCTTCCGCAGTCAACTTGTCGCTTCCCACCGGTGCCTTCAATGCAGACTGACGAATGGCCACGGATCCTTCTTCTTCAAAGCAAGCCAACAAGTCTGGATGACGGCGAAAGAGTTCCTCGAACTGCTCCAAGGTCATGTAGTTTTGCTCTTCCGCGCCCACATCTTCCAACAGGGCTTCCACGGCATCTTGGACAATCTTGTGATCTAGCTCGAGCTTGACCAAGGCACATGCTTCTTCCATAAAGGCTGTCAGATCCGACCTGTCCAATCGCCCAGTTTTTTGTAGATCCAGTTCATGAAAGGCATGTTGAATGGCCGCTGCCTGACCATTGGTATGCAGGAAACTTTGAAAGGCTCGAATCGAGATTCGAACACTGTCGCCCCTACCCGACTGTTTGTTCTTGTCAGAAACTGGATTGTCCGGCTCTTCCTCCGAATTGACGTTGCTGTCTTTGATCCCTTCCGAGTCCGCCATTGTGGCGATCTATTCTTACAATGCTCATAGAAACTACATGAAGTAAGTGGCTCTACTAGCTACCGGTACTGTAGCTAGACAGGGTTGTCCTTCTTCACTCGCAGATTTGGAAACCTTGGGGCTGCGGCTCAACTGACAATGAACCAAAAGAGCCTCTGATGAGAGGGAGAGGTGCGCCCAACAGCTTCAAAGAGACAGCAACACAACAAAAATGAGTACATCGTATCCGCGAATAAAAATGGATCTTGTTTTGATACTTGAGTACAGTAGACATTGGGCAACTGGGTCTGAAAAGAGCTTTATTTAAAAGAGGTTACCGGTACAGCATCCTTTAAATCCTTGATCTGGATGAGGATGTCATCGAACGTTCCACGTCATTGGATTCCCAGGTGATGTACCGGTACCGGTACCACCTGGCACCTGGTTCCATCCACCAACAAGCAGGTGAAGCATCCAGCAACCATTCTCCACGTCATCACCATCATGTGTACGCTACCCCCGAAACATCATCTATTGGAAAGGTGGCTGCGGCAAGTTCAAATTCGAGCCAATCAGCAATGTATGGAATGTTATTACCTGAATTGCCTGAATAGCCATTGCCGCTCTTGAGTTGCTGCTGCCCAGTTTATTGATGAGAATTTCAAGGACCACCATGACTACCGTATCTTTCCAATTTCGCCCCTGATAGTGGGGAAGCCATGGCTTGTGTCCTTCCAAGCCAATTCGCAGAAATACCACCATTGCCCATGGATCGTCATTGTGGGCCCAAAGGGCCTGAGGCGGTACTGTACTCGTTGTTGTGGTACCTTTATTGCATGCGTCCACTGGTCCAAGTTTGTCTTGAATAGAAATGCCATGCACACAGATGATGCAAGTACACAACAGTGGGACGATTCCGCAAAGAATCCCACTGCCAAGCAATGTTATGAAGGTGTTTTCATTCGATCCAAAAACAGAATCGGGCTCCCAATGCCAACTTGGCCAAGGCTGTTGCGTGGGACTACCGGTATGATAAATCTTTGCGCCCCAACAACCAGAAAGGAAATGAATGAGAAACTGAAGGTGGTGGACCCTGAGCACGCTGGTATTGTCCCCATTGCGCGGCAAAACATTGCATATACGGTAGAAGGGCAAGCATGCACCGCTTTTCTGTATCAAAAACAACCATGTCATTTTAGAGTAGTTGTAAACTATGTAAGGTTTAATTAAGCTACGATGTAAGGTAGCTATATACCTGGGGCAACAACTGAGGACGGACATGGCGACCAAAGGGCTTCACTCAGCGGAATCCACTGAGACATGAGTGGGTGGCTTTGACAAAGGCAATTGAGAGAATTGTTCTGATTTAGAACATGATTTGCCTAGTCTTGAGTTTGTTTGCGTTGGCAGCAGCAAGGCGTTGCAGAAGGAGTTTGGCTTGGGGCATTTTAGAGTAGTTGAAAACTATGTAAGGTTTAATTAAGCTACGATGTAAGGTAGCCATATACCTGGGGCAACAACTGAGGACGGACATGGCGGCCAAAGGGCTTCACTGAGCGGAATCCACTGAGACATGAGTGGGTGGCTTTAACAAAGGCAATTGAGAGAATTGTTCTGATTTAGAACATGATTTGCCTAGTCTTGAGTTTGTTTGCGTTGGCAGCAGCAAGGCGTTGCAGAAGGAGTTTGGCTTGGGGAGCAGGCGTGCCATCCAACCTGACGTGCAGAGGCAGCTTGTGCATCGGCTTCCCCCATGAAGAGAGAGAATGTGCGTGCTCGTCGTGACCTTGTCTTGGAGACATTGGCAATGGCTTCAGGGCTGACCTTTGCAAAGCCACCTCGTTGCCTCCTCTGCTCTTCAAGGACGGACTTGCGGGTGTAAGCAACATCGTCCTGGCGCATGCTTCCATATTCTTGGCAGGCAAAGCGTTCCAACCCACGGCGGCCGTCACTGCGGGCACACCAGTGTCGGAGGTCTTGATCGGGTGAGGCGGCGCCGAGCTTTACCAATTCTTGAAAGTTATTGGTGAGCATGAGCGATATCTTCTTGTGGGCTGTCTCGATAAAGCAGCCATGCTCCTTGGCTTGTTTGCGGAGGGGGGTGATGATTTTCTTGGCTCCTTGCTTGATCAGATCGAGGTCTTCTTGAGACCACCATCGGGAGACTTGGTCCTCATGGGTGATGCATTCTTCGGCTAGTGTAGACTCATTAATGACACATGGTGGTCCATCAAAGCTGACCTTTTGCTTCTTGAGAGCCGGGGCGCCATCGTCATTGACGAGGCAGGGAAGAGGAGCTGAGCCAATCACTGCAGTAGAGTTGTGGCAGACAAAGGCCACCATGGTTGTTGACGATTCGTGTTTTGAAGGCTTGAAAGTGGCTCAACTGTGATTTGGCCGGCAGGATTTGCGAGCCAGTGTTTTGCGTGAAGATCTCACAATCTGCTGTGAAGGGCAAATGCACTCGCCTGAAGCCCAAGAACTTCAATGTGCGTATTATGTGGCCGCAAGGGCTGTTGTTCAGGGCACACACTGTACAAACCGAGTGACGCACCTGTGACATGGGCACGAATTCTGTCTTGTATCTTGTACGAGCAGCTTCGATTTTTCTGATTCAAACGCGTGCCGGCTTTTCTGGTCGTGTAGAAATTTACGAAGAAGCTTGGCTCGCGTTTGAATCAATAGAAACGAAGCTGCCTGTATCATAATACAAACGATGATGAAAGCATCTCTGAAAAGCATCTTATTTGCGATTGGCGATGAAACACCATTCTTTTCTTCGGAACTTGAATCTTGGGGGTTCTCGGATCACGTTTCTGGGTATTTGGGGAAGCTTGGGTTCAATATCCGTGAATATTTCTAGGGCAAGATCCTCCGGATCCCTGAATCCACCCTAGGATCCGCGAGATCGGTGTCTCGGACATAGACAAAACTGGCTCAACGCTGGGAGGTCACGTTCCCCGAACGGTACGTTTTCGGGCAACTTGGATTCAAGGAAATTTTTTGTAGCAAAAGTACAGTCCCAAGTCTCCTTCTGCTGATGATAGCTGTATTTAAGAGAAAATTAAATAAGCAAACTCACACGGAAGCTTCTTTGAAGGCAAGTTTCAGATTTCAGAGATCTTGCTAAAACTCCTATGACTAAACTTGATAACGACACACTACCCTCAGTCATCCTGGACACTGGAAAGAAATAGATTTAGTGCTCACAGTTGCAGAGTTGCAGAGTTGCAGACTTGCATCCAAGGAAAGTGCCAGTGAGTCTGCTTCTGCTGATGCAACCGCCGTGGGAGGAAAAATTCCAAAGTTCCTGCCAACGATAAATCTCGGGCACACACATGTTCGGACACAACCGGTACCGGTACAGGCTACAGGTACAGGCGGACTGAGAGACCTTCACGCCAGAAGTTCTTGATGAATGTCTTTGTGCTTTGTGGGCTACTAGTATCACTGCATGTAGACATGTAGACTATTATACTCAGATTAGATCTCTGGACTCTAGAGTGATGACAGTCGAGTCACCTTTTATACTATATATTTTCGGTGAAGTACAGCTTTGAGTGACAGTCGAGTCACCTTTTCTATTTTCAGGTGAAGTACATGTGCAACTTACGAATCTAGGCTGGCGCGCTGAGTGGACTAGTCTTGAAATGGGCTCATTTAGCCTAGCTAGCTAGCACAAAGAGAGGTGGCTACACCTCCTCACAAACAAGTCATTACACACCTAGAAACAATAGTTTAATTGGCTCCCACCACTCCCTCCCTCGGCCGCTATGCCGCGAAGGAATGGTGACCCAGAGTAAAGCACTTTGACCACCACCCTGTCTCTCCTAGCACCTCCTACCAAACCATGAAGCAGCAAAGGACTAGATGCGCAGCCCCTTCGGCTGCAACACTTCTCTTATCAAAAGGCTAGCTGAGAATGCAAATTTGGGAACTTTGCTCTCGAACACTGCTCCCAAACACTTCTCCTGAACACATCTCCCGACCGCATCTCCAGAACACTTTCAGTATTGTCAATTATCAGTGAACAGGCTTTTTATTATTTTGCAGACAATTTTCGCGACACTTTTTGTTTGCACCGCACCAGACCGCACTGTACCGTACCGCACTACGAAATAAAAACTTCAGAGATCCTGCATTCAAGGAAAACTTCAGAGATCTGGCATTCAAGGAGTGACGTCGTCGATTGCAATCATTCCATCGAATGAATCGAATCCAATCTTCAGTCCTTTGATTGAATGATTGAATGGAATCGAATTCGATAGAAGATTCAGGCTGGGCAGAGGTCGCGAAGCCTCCTCAAGTAATTTTACCTCGGCAGTCTTGCTGCCAGAGCCCTCAACCCCTTTAATTGTTTTTCCTGCTACGGTGGTGCGGAGCTGTGTAAACTCGGCAGAAAGGTTTTAGTGTAGAAGCAGATACCCCTATTAGCTAGCTAGCTAGAAGCAGATACCTCTAGCTAGTGCTTAGCTAGTGCTTAACTTATTTAGTTTTTGCTGACTTATTTATATTCTAACCCTACCCTTATACCTGCAGGGACCACCATCGCAGGAAAAACAATTAAAGGGGTTGAGGGCTCTGGCAGCAAGACTGCCGAGGTTAAGTATCCTAGGATGGTGCTTTAAACCAGCTAAAGCTATTTACATGCATCCTAGTAGGGGGAAGCCAGTGAAAGCTATCATAGATATAACTTGTATTCTACCTAGCTAGGGGTATCTGCTTCTAGCTTGCTATGAGAATCTGCTTCTAGCTAGGGGGGGATCTGCTTCTCGCTAGCTAAGCGCAAGTTAAGCACTAGCTAGCTAAGCACTAGAGGTATCTGCTTCTAGCTAGCTCTAGCTAGCTAGCTAATAGAGGTATCTGCTTCTACACTGAAACCTTTCTGCCGAGGTTACACAGCTCCGCTGGCTTAAACAAATACCGTACGACTGTACAGCTTGTGGCTGGCTTACAACCTCCACTCGGTTTGCGTGGTTTCCCCAAGACTTAATTAAGCCCGCACATTCTGACATGGAGCAACTCCAAGGCGGACATGGCTGTATCGTACGATCCGAGGTTATCGATGGTGCCATGCAGTCTGCCTCTGCTGAGATGTCTGGCTGTGGCAATCAAAATAGGAAGCCAACTACTAGAGCCCATTCGCACACATAGTCCACTGAAACCACATCGTAACTCGCTTTCACATCTCACTCATCGTGGTCCAATATCTATCGGTTGTCCATACCGCATGTTCGCACCAGTTCTGTGCCTCGACTAAGTTATTGTGCTCAAGTTGATCTATTCCAGTATACATAATAGTTCGAGAAGCTTCTCTGCCGCGATTCTGGTATTCGCTACGTCGATCGGTGAAACAGAAAGATATCTAGATCTCGCAAAACAACTCGAAAAGAGAAAAAAGGCAACGGCTTTTGAAAAACAAGAATCTTTGAAAATGTTGCATGCGGGGCACTGTGCTTGGCAGCAGCCTAGGAGGAGCGTGGCCATCATGTCATTGCTACTACTAGTGATGCTTACTAATACCGATGGCGTCCATGCTAGTGTTTCCTCCACGGTGTGCAATGACATTGCGAACCTTCCCGAAGTGAATGCTTCTCACGTGTTTTGTGATTTGGACGAATTTGACGACGCGGTTGGTGGATGGGAGTTTGGATACCCACCATGCAATGAGATTTCGAACACTGTGGGAATGGTTGTTTCTCCCAGCAGCAGTGAGGAAGTGGCGGCTGTCGTGGGTTACATCTACAATCACAACACCAACATGGAGGATACGAAAGACAAATTGAAACTCAGTGTCCGCAGTGGTGGCCATTCGGGCACTTGCAACAGCATCATCGAGGGATCCATTCACTTGGATTTGCGTCAATTGAACAACTTGGACATCATCCCCAATACTCTGGATGAGAACCCTCACAATAAAGAAACAAACTTGCTGCAAATGGGCACAGGAAACACCTTTGCAGATATCTTCGAAGTTGTGGATCTGAACGAGTACACTCTTCTTTATGGCACATGTCACAGCGTGGGTGTCGGGGGCTTCTACCTTCATGGAGGCAATTATCCCATGTCCAAGTTTTATGGCTGGGGCAATGAGACCATTCGTGCCATGACTGTTGTAACAGCCAATGGGACAGTACTCAAGTTTAAGGAATCTCGTCAACGGCTTTTGGACACTAATGAAGAAATCACGGAACAAGTAGATACACGGGACATGGCGAACAACTCGACTGCCTTTTCAACAAACTCAACAAGTGATGGATCCTTACCACCCATTTATTCTCGGGATCCTGTCCTAATCTACGACGCAGATGACAATCCACTGAACGAGGCTGATTCATTGCACTACCAAGATCTCTGGACAGCATTGAGGGTAGCAGGGTCTAGCTTTGGAATTGTCACAGAATTGACCATTCAGATGTATGAGACTCCAACGCCATTCTTTTGGCAAATTGGGGTGAACTTGACACTGCAGGAAGAATTGGATATTCTGGAAGATGCCATTCATGATGAGACAGTTGTGCTTGCCTGGGGGCGCACCCAGTTTGGGCCAGGTGTCCTCATGGCAAGGACAAATATCAACGACCCCACCGACAAGGATGAGAGTTTTGAGGCGTGTCTGGTATGGCTAGATGAATGGTTTTTGCGGCAGGGGATTGATGATTGGAGGACAACAAGATTCGCCAAAGGCTTGACCCAAACAGTAAACTTGGTCTTCCAGGGCAGACTTGATTTGACTGATTTTGGGCCTGGGGGCAAGGATGGATGGGCCACCTCTAATGTGGTGTTTCGTGCAGACATCCCAGAGAGGAATGAGATTCTCTCCTGGTATCAGCAACAGCACGTCCTCAATGCATCAGACTGTCTTTTGTTGGTGCAGTACATGCGTTCTACTGTTACACAAGAGCCTCAGCTTGGTGTCGAGTTTTCTTGTGGCCCACGACAGTTGTATAAAGAAATGATGCGACAAGTTGAGAGAGAGGTGCAAGCAAGATATCCGGATTCTACCAGAAGGTATGTAAATTCGCCTATAGACATGGGGAATGATGTGGAGAACCGGAACATTGTCGCGAGGTATTACCCTCATCATGAAGCCCTCATTGGTATCAAGAGGAAACATGATCCAAGTCATGTGTTTGATCCCTTCCAGGGTATCTCAACTGATGAGCATTACTGGGAAAACCGGGAGGAAAGCATTGGTGCAGTTGTTCTGGGTCCTTTTCCTGTGATCGTAGCAGTTGTCCTTGGCATACTTGGTCTGTTCTAGATGAATGAAACGTGTCTCAAGGAAAGCAATAATTGTATGTTGTAGTTCTATTCTAATACGCTGGCATATTTCGCCAGTTCTAGTTTGATTTCGATACATGTTTTTAGCTAGTTATCTCTTGACCAGGACCAGCCTCGGAGCGACGAAAAAAGTACGCTGGGAGTACACCCCCAGCTGCTGCAACCTCAGTGCAAACCAAAGCACCCTGCCCAGACCGATCGCAGAATTGAAAGTCGCAAGTCGGTCGTCTCCTCGACAGTCTTGAAGGCGAAACAGTTGTTCCCTCGAACCCACCGATCGTTCAATTACCCTTCAAGGTGAGTCGGTGAATGCAAGTTGCACTCCTGTGTACGGCAGCCAACAGTTGAAGAGCCTTTCTCGATCTTTATGTGAGATGTAGACTGCATACAAAAGATATATTGCTTAATAAATGAAGATGTCCGCTACCGCAAAACTAAAGGGTATCATCTATATCAAACACAGTCGAGTGGTTGAGTCTGCATGCTCACACCTTGGCCGATATCCGCCGACGCCGAAAAAAGTGGGCAATCTTGCATCGAGCAGTCTCCTCATCCACCTCTACCCACTCACCATTCCCCTCATGGGAAATGAGAAAACGGCCCTTCGACTCTTTGATTTGCGCCACAATCTCTTTGGTAATCTTTGTCTTTTCTTTTTTGTTGGCTTTTTCGTACTCGTCAAATCTCATTTCGACAAGATGCTTGGCCCTTAGGTTTCCAGCGTGCACTCGTGTATCACGACCGCGCCCAAAGAGAACATCAAAGCGCCTGGGAATGACGCATAGAATTTTTGGGTTCATGGCTGTTTCCTTTTTCCGTTGGATTTCAATCCATTGTCGATGCCATGTGCAATCCAGTGTTTGTTCATTGTTGATTGGAAATTCGTGTGTGGGGATGCCATAGGTTTGGAGCTTGAACAAGACATCAGATTGGGACCCAGCATGAACCCGTAAGCGATGCCGGAAGGAATCATCGGAGAAGACAGATGCTCCATGTAGCCAATAATGCATGTCATGATCGTCATGATCATAGCAATAGTGCTCGACAGCTGTTCTTTGGCAAGCTCCATCGATAAAGATATTGGCGAGTTCTTTCATGACATCCAAGTTTATGGTATTTCCATATTTTCCCAAACCATAGTCGACGCAGACAAGTCCCATTTCTGCCACGCCTTCTTCAGCCATGACTGCTCGCAAAAAATACCAGCTGGCGCGACAAACGCTATTAGTGACTTTGTTATAGGCACCATATCCTGGGGCACAAAAGAGCACTACTCGGCCTGCAGTATCTCGACTGGGCAGAACTTGTGTACAACCGATTTCCAGATATTCCATGTCTTCTTTCGTCAAATCACTCATCAAAATGTCCCTGCCCAGCACCTCACCGGACCCAAACAACTTCTTTTTGTTTACAAAATGCTGAATCATTTGATCTGCTGTCAGCTTGGGATCCCACTCATTGGCTAGCAGAAACTTCGTACGGAGTCCCTTGACATACTCTGGATTCAGAGAAACAGCACTGTTGTAGGCAGACTTGCGAGGCTCGTCATCACTAATACTTTCCAATGCCACATCCAATGCTTCTAGCTTTTGCTGCTGTTCCTTGAGGTCGGTTGCTTGGGAAATACTGGGGAGACCGTGGATATCGAACACCAATTTTTCACGGTCGTCCAGGGAAAGCTTCTCAAAGTCCAAATCCAGTGCTGTCTGGGCTATCAAAACCTCTTCCAAAGTGTCAGGAAACTTATCACCTGACAAGCCGTGCTGCTCGGCAAAGGCCGCGGAGAACGCCTTCTTGCCCATGGTCTCTTCCTCCTCGTTGCTGCTTCTTCCCACGAAATAAACAAAGACGTCCTACTCCGGATTATGGGGCTAGCGTAGCGTGGACAATGGATGCCAGAGGTGGAGTGCAAGAAGCAAGCAAAATGGTGGAAACGATTGCTTTTTGTTCTTCCTGATTTTGAGACAAATGATCGAAAGTTAGTCGTGACATCTTCAAGGCGCATTGTCATAAGGAATTTTAAAGGTAGTTCAGGTATACTAGTAAACTGAAATTGCTCTGATGCTTTTATTGTTACCGCATCTACCTTATTTCCAAAGTTGTTGCGGTTCGGTGCGAAATTCTGGTATCCTTCTTGTTTATTATTAACGTTTTCTAAACACCGAAAGCTGAGATCTAGCCCTAACGCTGCTGTAGCTGAGCCTTCCTTCCAAACGAAACCGCCAACAGCAACCACACATCTGCAGCCGCCACCACGCTGAAGCAACGGCACTCGGGGTGGATAGTGGCACTGCCGAAGATCCTAGCTCGACAAAGTTGGAGACAGACTGATCCCAGGGAAGCCTATCACAGACCGTAGCAGCCACGACAATGGCATCTACCACAAAAGCCCGCAAGGGTGGCCCCAATAGCAATAATTCGGCCAAGGGCACCACTCTCTTGTCTGTGCGGTATCCAGTAAATTCCAGTTGGGAGTTCACTCTACCCAACGATGAGATTGCGGCTGGGACCGTGTACTGCACGGATGAGACTTCCCAACTAATTGTGCTTCAAAAATCTCTGGTGCATACAACTCTGACGTTTGAAGTTCGGATGGTGCAGGTATTGAGCATAAAGGGAGAAAAACTTATAAGTAGTAGCGCCGAGAACAGCGCCAACAAAGGAGATGCATCACTGTCAAAACCACTGCCGGTTATCGAACGAAAGCTGCTCGACGATAGAGAAAAAAGAGCAATTCGCCTGGCGGAAGAAAGCTTCCGCCACATAAACCAAAATGTGAGTGCAAGAGCTAGCTAGGTTCCATCCAGCTATCCATCCATTGATCATTTTCATTTTTCTCATTCTGCTATGCTCTTACCCCACTCAATAATATGATGATGCTAAAGGCAACTCCCCAAGGACAAGCAATATTTGATAGGCTTTTAAAAGCATGCAATGAAGTTACCTGGGAAGGAAAGTCTATCTTGGTGTTAGGACAGATTCAGGTTGATCCTCCCTACGCTCAAGAAAACTGCAAAGTGATTTCCAAGGGCAGTGGCGCCGAAGGAAGTCTAGACCGTGTGAAGAAAATCGTGGCAGCTGCAGCTTCAGGTGGTTTTTGACACTGTTGATCATTGGCGTGGATCATCATACTTCAACGTCTAGTCGACTCGGGTGGCTGCAACTATCTGTTCGGTCTACATGCTTGCTGATAGTACAATAACACTGTACGTAGTGTCTCCAGTTGCTCACGGCACTGCTTTTGAAACCTGTACGGTATTCTTTGGCTGGCTGGCTGGCTGGCTGGCTGGCTGGGGGAGAGCATGGAAATTGGTTGCCTGCTCTATCCAAAGAATGAACTTCTGGAGCCGGTACACGTAGCTTCAGGGGAAGCAATAGAGTCTGTTTGGCAAAGTAGGAATGAGAAAAGGCAGGCTAATTGGTTTTGCTTCTGTATCCTTTTCGGAGGGCTCAACTTGTTGCCGTAGCACCCGACTTACTGATCCTCACTGCTATCATACCGGTAGCTAGAGCAGTATCTCGGAATCGAGAAGGCTTGGATGGAGCTATCTTTTCGAGCAGGTCCCGAACTGGTTAAAATCTACGATGATATACTATCTGATGACAAAGCTTTGCTCCAGCGCGGGGGTAGGACTTGAGTTGGCCTCTACCGCTTTGGGGGTCTACCAAAACGAGTTGCAAGTGCCAGAGGAAAGGCTCGCAAAATATACCGTGTGGACTCGACTCACCGGATATGGTGGAATGGCGGTCATGGTCATGGATGGAGACGTTGTGTGGGATTAGGCCACGGTGGACGCAATTGCAAACCGGAAAGCGCAAGACGAGTACACCGCAACCGCGACCAGGGATGATCTGCAATAAGAGGCTTGCTGCTGCTGAAAGACGTATTCCCCAATCCGGAGGACGAAAAGGGAATTCTTTTTTCTGTCTTACGAAGAGCATGCATCAACCACAGTTAGTTACTGTCGAGTTCAACAACTCCAACGAGGTCTTGGAAGGATCGGCGTCCCTTGGAGGTTCGCCAGATCATGGGCGAGGGCTTGGAGGACCCCTGAACTTTTGCGTCTCCTTGTGCTATTGAGGTAAGTGCAGGCATCCAAGGCTCGGAACTGGAAAAAGGTGGTAGATACAGGCGAACACTAAGGATCACGGTCGCACCGTTGTCGTTGGATTCGCAACCCGCCACACCGAAGACGTCTTCTACACGACGCCCATCCACGGACAAAATGTGTGGGCCATTTTCTCCCTGCCGAGGTTCCATCCTCGGATGGTTCCGATGGCCTCATTCGTCGTGGAAGTGCCAAGCTCACGGAAACCACGATTTCCTCTAGATTTCCCAAAGAAGGCTTGTTGAAACTCACACCTGCCGAGGAGACTGCAGAGGTGGGCTTATTCGACTGTCATAACCTTGACCTTCTCTCTTCCAGTGCCAACAGGCTAACTCGTAGCAATTCTTGGTGATGCGGCTGATCCACAGACACGCTACAAGGGGCAAGGTCTGAACATGCCCATGGCGGATGCGTTTGTTTGCGCAACCAACTCGGATTGCAAACTCCATGGAAGCAAGATGGTGAAATGGCGGGCAACGCTATTTCGTTTTTACGACTCCAAGGAACGCCGTGAAAGTGCCAAGAAGGTCGTCCTCCAGGATCACCATTCATGTTACTACCAACTCGTTCATCTGTTGGCTCATTCGCGTGGTTCTCCAATGTCGGAAGTCGAAAGTATCGATATGGCCAACAAGGATTTCTTTGCGGATCCGAAATAAACGTGAAACGAAAAAGCCCGAGCGATCCTGATTTGCGCGCCATTTCGATACGAATCCTGTTCTGTGATCGTGTGCGATGTACTAGTACTCTTTTTCAAAAGTAGCTCTTACATACCGTTCTTTTTAGTTTGGTTTTGGACTTGGTACAAGGAACTCGTGTTTTCCCTTGCCAGCCAGCCAGTCATTGACGCCATTCCGGTGATCATCAGCCTGGATGGAAATGGCAGTCAGCGTAGCACCTTGGTCAATCTCCTCGGGATCCAATCACAGCAAAGATCTTACATGTAGAATGCCCAACACAAGAAAAAGTGAGATCCACGGAATGGTACGCCTCGAGTTTTCTAAACGAAATCACAGCCTTCGAGTCAGTCGCGGGTTTATGGTTGGATCGAGATTTGAACGATGGAGCAATGAAGGTGTGTTCAGTTTTGCAAGCTAGCTACAAGGAGTCACCATGTTAGATTGTTGATTGTCTCTAAAGGTTGTGGCACTCTAGCTAGTACGGTATTAATAGTATATCAAAGATTACCATTCATGTACGAGCCACAACAATTTGCCCAACAGGGCCAACCTTTTTGTGGTGGAAGCGATGGCCTTTTTGTCTCGCACGAGGAGGCAGCATTTAATTGTTAGAAAAAGAGAAATGAAGGACATGATGGCATGCTGTCTATGACCATACGGTTCTGTAAAAGACCCTCAGAGAACGTCCCTCAATAGCGTCTCTAACTCGTGGTGCTTCGAGGAAGACAGGATGTGCGTCGCTTCCGTGGAAGTGCAACGTGAAGTTAATTAGGTGAGCCAGGTGAGGAGGTCAAGCATGGTTCGAATTATTTATTTTTCTTAATTAAAGCGGAGTTCGGATTTTCGTTAACCGGAATGCTGTGGAAAAAAGGCTGGATCTCCGAGTCACAGCACGTGCTAAACCGTATTGCTTTCACCACTGCTGTCACTACATTACTGAACTTACTTTCCCCGACGTTTTGGGGACTGCATGTCTGTATGGGCAATGGGGAGGAACGAGTCCACGGGCACTTGTACTCGTACTGGTAACAACTAACTCAACCAATCTCGCCACCCTTCCGTGCAAATAGCGACCGACCTCTCCACGTTAGCTAGCTAGTAGCAGTAGCTATCGATAGAGCCCTCATAGCTACCGGTAGCCATACTGGTAGACAGAAGTAGGTACCGGTACAGTGCAGCCAAGCAGAAGTAACGATGAGTGCGGCCGCCGGTTGGGAAGAAGAGGAGCAAGCTCAGGCTGATAAGACAGGAGGAGAGGCACACAAAGAGGAGCAGCTGACGATGCTGTTGACGGAAGAGGAGCGGAATCGAGCGTTGGAGATCAAGGCAGCTGTGGAGGCGGATGATCGAATTCGCAATCTGAGTGATTTCGAGTATGTGCACTATGCGCTGACCCGAAAAAGTCCGGAGGAGACCATGGAGTCCCTGACGCATCGAGTGTACATGATGCAGTGCTTTCGCGAAGAATACAGAATCCAAGACACTTTCGAAGAAGGACTCGAGCTGATACATCAATACACACAGCAACAACCAGGTCTCGTGATTGACGTGCAACTCTTGGCATCATCCTACAACTACTTGTCGGTAGAAGACTTTGCCAAATTCAATCCACGAGCGGTCAAAACACACGAAGATTATAGAATATTTACTGGTGGTTCATTTTATATGCTCCAGGCCCGGCAACCCAACTTTGCCGCCATTCGAGAAGGCATGCCATCCATGGTGGAATGTGAGGGAGCCAGCTTTGCCAATTTCGATTCCCACGTCACGGAACGATATCAGCACGAATTCTTTCTGCACTATCCATACAAAATGAAGGAGGTCTTTCTACTCAATTCACCCACCGTAGTCAATGTCTTTTTTGCCCTCATCAAGAGATTCCTATCGGAAGAAACCGCCAAAGCATTCCACTTGGGACATCAAGTGGAGGGTTTGGAAGGGCAACGCATTGATACATTCTACAATACACCCACACGCAATATGATACGAAAAGTACTAGAGGCGCTTCAGATACGGTACAAAAACCAAGAGGAATTCTCCTTGGCACAATGTACCGGTGGGGAAGGATTGGATGGGTGGTGGGTCGACCAACTGGCGGAGGATTCAGAGCACTACTGATCTCGTGGCTTTACTAAATTTTTGATGGATGAACTGTATTATAGTGTAGTTACCAATTTGCTGGGTTACAAACGAAACAACAATACTTTTTGTTTTCCATTTCACCAGCAGCTGAACAGGAGGCCCCTTGGGTCACTAACTACTTACAGCAGGACAACAGCCAAAGCCGCCGAAATCGCTATCGAGAGAGAGCCCAGCAAAGAGATTCCACCGGCTGTCGGGGAGGGCGTTGCGCTTGCTTCCGGTGCCGGCGTTGCACTTTCTTCCGGTCCCGCCGTCGCAGCACCAGCATCATCCTCCCAACTAAATTCCGTGGTTTCCCCCGTCTCTGGCTCCATGGTCCATCGGGGTGACAACGGGTCCAACACGGTATCCATGTCCATCTCCTGTGATGCCTTGTAGACGACAAATCGTTTGATGGTCTCGTCATCGGCAGGCCAAATGTCGGCGCCGCAAAAGTCCACTTCGTATCCAATATCCTGCAATGCCGCCACGGTGACACTACTAATGGGCTGAAACAAGTCGGCTTCAAAGAACCCCGTCATGATTTCGCTGCTTTGAAAGGAACGAAAGGATCGCTCTTCAAAATGGCCACAGGCGGTTCCCATGCCACCATTGTTTTCCAGAAACAATTCTCCGGGAGCAATGGCTTCATATTCGTTGGCGGCTCCGGCACATGCGTATTGTGTTTGTTCCAAGGGATTGGTACTGTCACAGGCATTGGTGCAGCGTCCACTGGTGGTCCCCACCAACCCCAAGACGTGTCCCATTTCATGGAGAATAATCAATTTGACATCGTTGGTGGACATGGCATCTAGATCCAGTCCATCAAACTCCATGATACCGCTAATGGTGGAAGTGGGACGACGGAAAGCATCCCGTCTGACAAACACAGGACCGGCAGCACCCAATGTACCACCCGGTCCATCGAGCGTGTCCGGAATGTTATAGCCAATGACCACATCGTCCACGGCTTCCGTGTAGCTGCGACCAGGAAATTGACCACCAAACCAATCGTCCACCGTCCCGCCACGGACATCGGGGACTACATATCAAAAAGGAGAGGAAGAATTGAGTGAGAAATCTTTTTCCAACGGAATGGACTCCAGAACCAACGGACACTACACAACGTACCATCACCGACAATGATCTTGCTCCATCGAATGGCAGCCAGCTGAAAGGCTTCTTCATATCGTGGATCGGGATCTCCAACTCCCATGTATTGGAGCTGGATGTTGTATTCGGATGGTGTCTTCTCGCAGGTCGTCAGGTCCACGGTCCCACCATCCACAGTACTGGTTGTCCGTTGAGCTGTGGCTCTATTGCTGGCAAAGGCGGCCATGGCGGCAAAGAATATCCGAGAGAAGTAGAGGTTTTTCATGGTCGATGCTGTGGGAGTGTCTTCTTAATAATAGTTTGACGATTGCTTTTATGTGAGCCCTGTTGTCTCTTTCCAACCACAACCAACGACCTAGCTGGCTGGGTAGCACAGTAAGACTTGGATATCGTACGGGTAATAGCAACGACTGAGCACAAGATGGGCTAGGCAACAAATGGCAAGATTCTCGAGTGTTCTGGATTTTTCGTCTCGCAGCCCGAGCTGTTTTAGACTTCCGAGTTTTGGAGCACGTGTGGGCCCGCAGGAGAAATTTAAACCGACATGTCTACTAGAGCACGAGGAAGCGACCACTTCATCGACGACCAACGTTCTTGCTCCAGTCCTTGCCTCGATCTTCCCTTCTCCCATCATGGCTCCTCTCTCTACCAAGCTGCAAGTGACCAGTTCATTTGATCTTCTATCATCGCTCGGTGTCGCTCTTTGGGGATGGTCTCGATTCACACTCCGACGATCCCGTGAAACTCGAGACAAAATCGACGCCGACAACGCCGCAAATACCGAGAGCCCTTGCAATCTCGTTCGCGAAATCATCAAAGGCACGAATCAGTCCGATCTCGCTGACAATGCTTGTCGTTTTGAAGGATAGAGCACTTCAAGATACAAAATTGGCCCTGGAAGCTGCCAACAACACGATTGCAAATCTTCGCATTTCGATTCGTTTTGTGAGAGCTCAACTTGCTGGCCCTCTTTCTCGTCTTCCTGCGGCGTATGTTGGCGTTCAGCCTCGAAGCCTTGGATCGATCCAGGATGGCCTCCACGTTTTCTGGAATAGCGACTTGGACCTTTCTGCTGATGGGATCGCTACTCTTCACGACTTTGATGGGTTCCATGTCGCTCTCCCCTTCATACTTTCGGACCTTCCCAACTGCAAAGTCTCCTTGTTTTGCTCTGGCGACGACGTGATTAGCATTGACTTGTTCGGGGCAGAACCTACCAAGAGACCCTTTTTCGTCACAGGTGTGCGTCATCTTCACAATCTTCACCCCGGTGAAGCAGACGTGTGCTTTGCGCTGAAGGTTCGCACTCCTTGGGAGAACCAATCAATTCTTCACCTTCATGGATCATTTCGTCTGCCCAACAACCACCCTGTCATTGGCAATGATCCGTTCCAAACTCAGTCCAATATCACCGGTTTCTCGGTCCAAGAGGTCACACCGCGAATTCCGTCAGGCCTGGTGTGGGATCGGTAGAGTGGGTTTACCACCTTCACGAGTCCATGTACGTCCATCTGGAAGAACGCTTCGTAGAGGAGTGCTTTCACGATGGGCAATTTGTCATGTACATTCGGCACATCGACCTGCCAATCGCAGCCATCAAACACAAGTTTCGCTTGCTCTAGATTCGAGACTGCGTCATGTGACAATCCTGTCCAGATTTGGTGTGCCACCAGACAACCCTCAAACTCAGGAACCGAGTGGAGGCAAGAGAGGCCATTGTTGTTTGCTTCTATCGCGCATCTGACAGTCTTTGACGCTAGAAATCTAATCACACCTTAGATGTACCATACCGGTAGCACGTACGGTAGTTGAACAGAAGTCGTCTATAATCCTACGTTACATTACGCGTCTAAGTTGTAGTCGTTCAAGTTTGCATGGTGGGGTCGATTGTTTTTCCCAGCGGTCCCCACCGGAAACCACTTCCCTGCGGTGTTCAGCAAGGCCTCCTTGGTGCACCAGTGTTAGGCAGGTCTCTCCCATCTTGGCTGGCTGTCATCACTTGGTCAAAAACTAGGTTCTGGTCTACTTCCCTTGTGATACCGTACCGGTATGGGATCTGTTACCTGCAGCCCCAAATGTGTCTTGAATCGAGGTCTCCCCTTTTCCTCAATCGCCGCTACATCCAAGCCGTGACTGTACAAGCCAACGTGGTGACCAGTGAGAATGCCATCCAACTCCGGTGTCGATGCGATGGCGAGGAAGACTCCATCTCATCCAAGACCACAATGGAGGACCCCGCTGCTTGTTGTTGTTGCATTTGCTCTTGCTTCTTTTGTTGTTCTTCTTCATACCACCCCAGTTGTGGAAGCTTTCCACTCATGCGATGATCTTCGTCGTCGGGCGTTCGGAACTGTCCTTGTGCTTCTTCTGGTGGCTTTTCGGGCGACGAAAAGACACTGGGAAATCCTGGTTTGTTGTTGTTATTGTCGTCTTCTCCACCACTTCGACCTTGAAAGTTAATGTTGATTTTGTAGTTGACCCCCTGCAGGTCGCCGACTTCAATCGTCAGTCCGGATCGTGCCACAAATCCACCCTGGTACATGTCTGTATTAGGCCAGGTGTTACCGTCTAAATTGGGTCCAATGGACATTCCCGAGAGGTACATGTCCCCCTCGTCAGCATTGTTGTTGCCTTTTTCCAGGTCGTAGTTGCCATCTGCTTGCATGACGGCAACTTGGTAGTGTTTCTGTAACGATGGAACAAGAGAGATATACAGCAGGCAAATTAGAACGGACCGCACAAGTCACTTGTTTGATTGCTGCGATGAAACTCACCCCATTCCCGGGCCACCCCCCTTGTCCTGGGTATCCTCGATCATACTGTTCATTGGCAGCGTCATCAATGTGATAGATCATGACTCCCGATTGCCAGAATTCCACATCGAATGCCAGTTGTTGTCGATTTTCAACCAAAAAGTATTCCTCCATGCCACCAAAATCTTGCAGGGGTATTTTGATACAGTTGGACGCCAGTGCGGCGGGTCCCAGTGTCACGGAAGTGCTACTGGTGACCTCTTGACATCCTGACAGCCAGTCAATGGCCAATTTGGCCCACACGGACAGGGATACGGGCAAGTATCCATCATTGCCAAACCCATAAGGATACGCCACTTGATGATGATGATGTATGATGTATGAGGAGCATGATGATGTGAGAACCTCTGCGGTCGATACTGCTTCTTCACAAGCTAAGCTGTGCATTGTGCTGGTACTTACTAATGTCAAACTGATAGAAGAGAAAGGAATCAATGCAAGAGGCAGCACAATGTGAGGACCTGCTGTGATGATACTTCATCTTCACAATCCATTGACCATTTTGTAGTATACTACTTACGTTCCCCACACCCTTTCCTTGAAAGGTGTAGTCATACAGATCAATGAGATAGAATGTATGCAGGTATTCGTGTGTCATGACTCCCATTTTGGCGACATTGGCATCACATGTCCTATCGAGCCCCGAAGCAATCATGTATCCTTCGACACCATAAGTTCCTGCTTGGTTCCGCCATCCGTTCGAGTCCGAAAAGGCGTGGCTCCATATTCGATTGAGATATTCTCTTCCATTGGTACAATCTTGTCCTCCTTCTTCGGCGGCATATCCGGAATGCAGTACAATAAGATTGTCCAACAATCCATTGCCATCGACATCGTATTTGCTCCAATCCCAACTATTGGGAACATTATTATCGAGTGATTCCAGTATGGGCCAATAGGCTTCTTGAAATTGCGCGACACGACCGGATTGTCCAAAACTGTAATAGTTTTCGGTATTGTCCGAATTGCGCCAATGCTGTACATCAAAGAACGCATTGTACTTGCCGTAACTGTTTTGCATGATCCATCGTCGAATGCGCAAATTCCAGAGAATTTGATACTCGTAGCGATCCGGTAAGCGCCGCGACTGGTGATCGGTAAATCTCACTAGTAAAACCAAGACGCGAAAGGTACCGACGCGAGGATTTTGTCCCGTGGCGGCGGCTTGTTGTTGTAATTGACGATGATTGGTGGTGGCGTTATTGTTGTTGTTGTAGCGATACTCGGGATGAGTGTCATCGTGTTCTTTGAGAAACTCTTCCAACTCTAGCTTTTCTTCCTCTGTAGTGGGAGCATTCCAAAGTCCTGTATTCTGGTCGATGTGTGCCGTCAGTTCCTGGAGAATCTTGCGAAACTCGGTCATGTGGTACTCTTGCAGTTCTGCTTCTGTCACTTCTTCCTCCTCTTCTAGTAAGCTGTCATTGTCGTCTTGTGGTACTACTGGACTTCCTCTTAGCTGTTGCTCTTCTTCTAACAGTCGTCTTCTTCGTCGCTGCCGTACTGCGCCATCGCGACTGATCTTGTGCTGCAATGCGCGATGTCGTTGTTGATGACGTTGCATGGATTCATCGGCATTTTGACATTCCAATTCCGTCAAGTAGCGACATGTCTCGGGATGCAACGCCGTTGGTTTGTAGTCAAAGGTAATGTTGCGTCGTTGACGATACAAGTGCACGGGTTCATATGTCTCGGCTAAATCACTGCCTGGTTTGGGAGGCACAAAGGCGAGTACTGATGACAATGTCGACAGGGAGAGTAGTAGAAGTAGTAGTGGAGTCGTCGTTGCCGTCATGGTGGAGTGATGGATGGATGGTTGGATGGATCGAGACCAATGATACAATGGAGAATAGAAACACTTTTGTTCTCAGCTGGCTACAGTACCAATGTCTCTACCGCAAGCTCTAGCTAGCTAGCAACTGGAATGGAAGATGAATAGAATTGGATCGTTTTGGTTGGAAGTAAGCTCGCGTTGAGACAAGCAAGGTACATGTATGTACGATCTGAACTGATCTTGTAAGATAGGTCAAGAAGTGAACCCACCTTCTCAGCAGAGACTTCTATTATACGTACCATTGCTTTGTTGTCCATGGTGTTTATCCATTGCAATCGTGTGAGCATCTTTTGCAGATTTTTCAAGAATGCTTCCACCATTCGTAAACATTTTAATCAGCTGTACCAGGATGAATACGTGAAGTCAAATTAGACTTAGTAATCACTCTTTAGAAGATTTATGATACGGAAGGTCTCTCAAGACGGTGTTAAAAGATCCACATGTAAGTTTTACAAAGTCACGATTAGTCGCGGAGCTCGTTGTGGTTGCCTTCCAACTTCCAAGCGAAAGAGCTCTTCTGAGTTTTGGCATGGCAAGATGGCGGATGGCTTTCGCCATTCACCATGGATGGATATGTACGATGTATTCAAACATGAGCTGCCGTACTAGTCTAGTCGGTAGCTAGCAACTCTAGAGTAGAGCAGTGCTGGATTCGACGGCTCTTTGGCCTGCAGTTACATGTACATGTAGTTTTGTCTTCAAGATGACCTACCGTATGGCTGTCGCCACAAATTGTGTTTCGGTACGATGTAGTCAAGGTTTCGTCCACGGCTAGCTAGCTCGCGTTGATTGTCATTCCTGTAACTGAAGTGCCAGGAGAGACGCAAAGTGGGCCTGGCTAGCTAGGACGTACAGACAGAGCTCCTCTGTCCTTCGCCCCCAAAAGCGAATGCCTTCACACCCAACGAGATACTAGCTAGCTAGCTAGTAGGCAGACCACCAGCCGTGAGATACATAGGCAACCGGCCTCAAGGCAACGGGTGCGCCGCTGCGGCATTCAACGAGACTGCGCGACTGGAAACGTTGTCCTCGCTGCTAACGTCTTCCTGGGAAGTCGCGGTGGATGCCTTGGAACGATCTTTCGAGTCAATACTCGGGTCAATCCAATAACTTGGGGAATGAACGAACAACGGCGATTGCATGTTAGATGCCACATACAGCTTATCGTAGCCACAACACTTGCTTGCTTGCTTACGTTTGCATTTCTCCTTTGCCTTTGGCGACAATCTTGTCCTCTCGGGCTGTCAGCCAACTTTCCTTTCCTGCCCCGATGAGCTCCGTGGCGGTGGATTCAGATGCATGGATTCTCCCTGCCTGACCTTTTGTTTCCATTCTACTGGCAGTGTTGACTACCATACCGCGTACAACAGAACAGAAGATAGCGCGTGAGAAGACCAAAACAGCCAGATTGAAACACGACAGTCAAATAGTTTTGTCACGACAAACCAACTCACCGGTATCACCAAACAGCTAGGCACAGGCAGCAAGATGCATTGGCAAAAGCCGTTAGAACGTAGCTCATGGAGGCAGGCGCAAAGCCATCTAACCGATGCACAGTCCTTACCTGGAATCGAGACTTCTGTCCACGCAACACTCCAGCCGTAACTACAAGCACAAAGAATGACACAGCATTGGAGACATCAGACGAGGTAGCTAGCTAGCAAATCCTCCAACCCCAGCCAACCTGGCCTACCTGATCCGCTGTGCAAGCCAGTTCTGATCTGAATGGAACCTGTGTCCGCGCCAAGGCGATCTGACAGCGACACCACTAGTTCATGAACCTTCTTCATGCAGTCGTCCGCAAATCGGGCAGTGGCAACGGCGTGCTTTGGGTTTGGATTGGGCAAGCCACACACTCCAAGCCAGCAGTCACCAATGGTCTCCACTGATATTATGATGAGAGAACCAAGCAGCAGCAATGAGCCAAATTGACGAGGTTCGCTTGCTAGCACACTGTTTCTTTCTCTTCGGCGTACCTTTGAACACTTTGCGTCTGAGGGCAATGGCATCCATTTCACTGTAGACAGTCTCCAACAATTGAAAGACATCCTTGGGGCTGCGAGTGGAGGACCTGGTGGTATATTGCCATGAGTAGAGAGTACGGAGCATAATCAGACAAGCCCCACCACCATCGGAAGAGGACGGATTGTGGCGACTTACCATGCAGTGAATCCAGGCAGATCACAAAAGACAACGGTACAGCTCTTGTATTCATCCGCAATCTGACGCCCCAATGAAGTCTGTTGCTTCCCAGCTTCAAGAGACTCATTCTTGAGGTCAACCATCGACTTCCTCCAGAGTCCCCAGGTGTTCTTGTTGTTGTCATTTTCTGACTTTGGTTCATCTTCAAATATGCGTTCCTGGATCTGTTCCGGGAACAAGCCATCGACGATTGCTCCAGACTCCGCAGCACGTTTCATCACCACCTTTTGCCGTTTCTCGACACAAGTATCAAACAGCACAAATACAAGGGCAGTGATGACAAAGATCACTCCAACCGCCACAGTGTAAATGATGGGATTATTGGTAATGTACTCATCTCTGGTTTCATCGGTAGGGTAAACCTTCAGTATGTAACGACCGACTGTGTCATCCAAGGGCACAGTCAAGTACCCCATTTTCTCTGGATTGGAATTTCGATGGACATCTGAGGTGACATCCAGTGTGACTGCCATGTGATCATAGCGAGGATCATGGAAATCTTCAGGCCCCAGAGCAGTTGTATTGTGACCATTTATCAGATAGGAAAAGGTCTGGTTGAAGCTGTTTGAGAGAACACAGAGGATCCCTTGGGCATTTGTGGGCAAGACATTCTGGAAGTAGACTTGCCAGTACAGATTAGTCAAGATGACCCCACCCAGCTTGCGTGTGGTTGTGTTGAAACTGTCCAACACAGGGTATGCCAAGAAGGTAATTGGGCCATCCAAGTAGGCATTCACTTTATTCCGATAGTGACCAGCTCGAAGACTTCCTGTGAACGAGGCACGGTGCTTTGGTGAAACGACCCTCATTTTGTTGATAAGGACTTTGGGATTGGCCATCAGTCTATTGACAATGTCAAAGTCCTTGTAAAGTCCTGTGACCCAGTTAAAATTGATGTGATTTTGAACTTGATTTGAGAGTGGTGATCTCTGCCATTCAGGAAGATATGGACCAGTCCCATTTGGCTCTGGAGTTTCACCCCGGGGTTCATAGATTCTCAAGTGGTAACCACTCCCATCCTTTAAAATGTTGGGGTTGTCTTCTTCCTCCTCCTCGAGGTTTCGGGTGGAGTTGTCGTCACTTTCGTCTTGCCCGACAAGCTGTTGGAAGTATTCATCCTGTTCCTGTCTCATCAGATTGTCCTGTTCCGTTGCCTGGTTCCTTTGATATCGGTTCGAAAAGGCGTATTCCTCCCATGCCAGACGGTTGTCGTCTGTCACCAGGGGGCACCAAATTAGGTTGATAGCATCTGCCAATAATCGAACATCTGAGCCTCTGACGGCAAAATCTGGGAGTGTCACAAAGGGAAACTCAGACTCTGTGGCCATGGCATAGCTAGTAATGGCATTTGAGAATGTCCCAATGGCCACCAGCTTGCTTTCAATAATACTTCCAAATGTATTTGTGAGCTGTGCAGCATGGATGGCAAAGCCATCTTCAAAGCCTTTCTCCTCTGCTTGGCTGGAGAAAGTGTAGACTCCAGCCAAGACCACAGCCGTGGCAACTGCCAGTAATGTCATGACCAGGATCCTTAGCATGAGCACAGCGCGGTTCTCTTTGGCCGCCAACGTCTGAGCTGCATTTTCTTGAAGACGCTTCTGTTCGGCTCCAGCGGCAGCAGCAGTATCACTACGATGGCTGGAGTAGTCATGATTCTCAACGTCCATGGTTTCTGCTAAGTTAGTTTGGAGTTGGGGATGCTTGGAGTGGTTCTTGGGGGTGCTTTAGTTAGGAAGACAGACAGCAAGCAATGAGAGTGCGATTAGCTGTGCTATTTGTGGTCATTATTGTGGTCGAATGTAACGGAGACAAAAAGACGGGTAGCTTCAGAGTTGTCGCGTCGGCGAGGTTCGTACAGACCCTTGACGTGTGTTTTTCAACTTTCCAACTGAACTGACACTTTAAGCTTCAAGGCAACTATGACCTAGAGGATAATACCCAATGACCATGAAAGCAAACTTTGGCGTTAAAGGGTATTTTCATGGCGCACGCGCATGTGTCGTATCAATATTATCAATAGTACTCTGAGGCGGAAAAGGGCAGTGGTTTTCACTGGTAAGCAGAAGATTCGAGGTTCGCGATCGAGGCACCTATGACAGCTCTATGCATATTATGACCTATGACATACTAGAGTACTTTCGCTCTTTGAGCTGCTCTTTGTCACCCAGGAATTAATGATTATTTGCCACCATAGTTGGGTTCCCAATGGCTCCACGGAGGACAGACAGTGACGGAGCAGAGGTTGGAGAAGAGGGTTGAAGGAAAGGAAACGAGATACCAGTAGGGATAGGGCTGTGGATCTTTTGACAATCAAAGATCGATGAGCAAGGGTCGACGAGAAGCTCTGAGACCGCTGCTACGTACAGTACCATTGCCATCATCCAGACTAAGTCTTCTATACTACCACAACTATCATCCCCATCCATTGCTGAAAGATGGGCAATGAATTCTCCACATGGTGGGATTCTGTGTGGGAAGAGTGGACTGGGGAAGAAAAGAAGGAAGGAGAGGCAGAAACGCCCAAGGAAGAATTAACGTCAGCAGAACAAGAATTGCCACCACCCGAGTTGTCCGATGAGGACAAGCAGCGACGAATGGACGAATTGAAGGGCCTGGCCGAAGAATGTGGCTTTGAACATGTCCATCAGGCCGAAGTCGCCATTGGTGGATTCCTCTGGGTGCTCCAAAAGAGTGACAATATGGAGGAGGAAACCGTCACTCGCCTGATGGATTCCATTCAAGGCGCAAACGATGCCGTCAAGCAGTACACCAAGCTGTCCGCACTCCAAGAGATTCCGAAAATGATCAATCCATTGAAATTGGTCAAGTTGACCAAGACATTGATATCAGTCTACAAGGTACAAAATGGAGTCAAACGATTGACACGACAAGACAAGGATTGCCAGCATACAGAAGATGTTGTGGGAGTACTCAAAAAGGTATGGGTACCACAAGAAGCCATTGAACAGTTTTTGGAGGGGTTCATTGGATATATGCAGCAAAACTTGAATACCGATGTCAGTGATATCTTGTGTCTAGCAAAAGAAGCAGCAGCAGCGGAAGCAGAGGGAGGTGGAGACGTTAAGGAAATGGCAGTGGAACCAGAAACCAAAGAAGAAACGAAAGACGAACCGAAAGAAACGGTAGATGCGGATGCAGAAGCAAAGGAAGAAGCCACGGAAAACGACAAAGAACAGGGAGATGACAGCAATGATTCCGAGAAAGCAGCAGAAAAGACAGAAGACACCAACGAGGCAGAAAACAACAACGCGGAACCACTAGCCGACGGCGAGGAAACGGAGGAATTAGCAGAAGCTCTAGAAGAAACGGATGATGTACACGCAGATGCAGATGCCGATGCAGACATCATGGCAGCAGAACCCTCAGAATCACCAGCCGATGCAGAACCCACGGAGCCGGAGGGAGGTGATACAACAGGACCCGTATTAGAAGAAGGCAAGGATGAGGGCGAAAAGGAATAGAAGATCCTCATTCAGCCACAACAACCTTCTGCCTTGCAATCGCCAGCCAACTTTGGCCGGTTCCGGAGCGTATGTTGGATTGTAGACCTAATCTAGCAACTACTACAACTTTTCAGTCAGAACCCAAAATTCATGCTATGGTAGACCGGAGGATTGAATCTTCAATCGAGTCGAATGGTCAGTCGAGTCGAGTCCGCAAAGCGGAACGGTACAGAGGAAGCATGACCGGGTTAGCTAGCGGCAAGGGGGGCTCTCCCTTGTTACCCGATTTGCCCGCAGCCCGTACAGTTCAAAGATCGTTGCTGCTCAGGTTTGAATGATCAGTCTGCAGTCCGTCATCGAGGAACGTGAGAGGAGAGCTGAAAGGTTAGTAGTGACGGGGAACAACTTTTGGGATACAAGGATCCAGGCTTGCCCTTCCACGACTATGATTATGAACTAGCTACAACTACAACTACTATACGAAAGGAGGACCTGATTTAAGCCATGATTTTTGTTGTTGTTAATTAAAAGATTCTCTACTATGTGTTATTGTTCTATGTTTTGTATTTAAGATTGTATCATAGCATCAACAATGATAGAGGTTGGTTGTCGGGTGTCACGGGTATTAACTTTGGACTTTCGTCGCGTGGAGGACGTTCGGACAAGCACTCTGCAATAGAGGCTGCCTAGCACAGGAACCACAAACCTGGCTACCTTCGATGTGACCCTTCAATTGAACCAACTGTATTCATCTCCGCAAAATTGTTGTATAGCCCTGCACCCCACCAGATGCTTGCTCGTTGTGTATTGTATTGTGTTAGTAATCCCAAATACGTCGTCGACGTCCCCACTTACTTACCTGTTGTCCTAGACTGGAATGTACCGGTCAGGCTTTCTGACTTGCCGTCCAGAAAGAGTTGTTGTTGTATGAACTGTTGTTTGCTGATGTGTGTCCGTCACAGGTTGTGTTGTCTTCTTCTTCTTCTTGTCCTTCACCTTAGGCTTTGTCGACTTCTTCTTGGTGGCCGCCGCTCGTCTACGTTTAATTCTAGGTTGTTCAACTGCCACCCGCTGTGGCTTTGTCTTGATTTGTTCTGCGATTCTCTGAGATGCAATCGCCGCCATGCGTCTCTTTGATCGTCGCAAAGTTGATGGTGCTGTGTCCACATTGTCCTCCTCGTCGACTCGGTTGTCGACCAGTGGTTCATCAGCACCAACTTGCTGTTGTTCCTCGACCTCGACCAGAGGTTCTTCGGCTACCGCTGGGTCAGTCACGAATTCGTAATCCTTATTGTCTGAGGCTTCCAATCGTAGTGTCTTGTGCCGCCGCATCGTTTCCTTGACAAGGTCTCCACCATCCTTCATCAAGACTGAGAGAATGTCATTGGGTACCACTCCAAGTAGCACACCATTCATCATTCGCAACTCCAAAACAAATGGTTGTTGTCCATGCACACTGATCTTGAAGTGTGTCACATGCCACTTTTGAACGTATGGGACCACTGCTGTGCATGTGGGAACCACCGCTGCCTCGCATGTGATTGTGGCATCGGATGCCATCTCGTTGTCGTCGTCGACGGTCAAGACTTGTTCTATTGTCTGGGTGTCTTTAGTTGTTGTTGGTTGTTGTTCTACTTCTACTATGGGTGCTGCATCTTCCATGCAGACGTCCTTGACCTTGCGATAGACAAATCGTCGGTTGGCAATCTGTTCTCGCGTATTCAAGGTGCAAATTTCGTCGTCAGCATTGCGCTGAATTCCTCCATGGTGCAAGTGGCACATGGCAAGTTCGAACATGTATGGGTTCTTTTCGTTGACCATGAACCAGTGCGAGACTTGCTTGTCGTTTCCTTTCTTCGCCTTGATGAAGTTGACAAGTGGCTCGAGGTCTTGATGAACGGCATCAATTTGAATGTACAGTTTGGCTTTTTGTAGGTACGCTTTGTCGCTTTGGAAACATTTGTTGTTGGTGATCCATTTGGCCACTTGTTGGTATCCGTACTCTTGAATCAACTGCACAAGATCCAAGACGCGTTCGTGGGGTGTGGGGGTGCCGATGGAAATGAATTGTTGTTGGGCTTCTTGCCGGAATACGTATCGGGCCTGTGGCTCTTGTTTCTTAATGTCTCGATAGACATCACGTTTTTCTTCTTGTTCGCTCTCGTCAGAAGAGTACCCCACTACAGTGTTGACGGGAGCAAAGGATAAACGGTTTCCATTGCTCCGTTCGGTGTCTTGACCGTAATGGGTCTTCCAGCGAGCGTTGGCTGATTGACTGGTTTGGATGCGACAGCCCTTGGGCCGGTGCTGGTTGTATTTGTCGTATCCGTAGTGACCATGCTGATCCAATGGAACCAGGGAAAGTTCGTAGGCACCTAGGTAGCGACCATGCTGCTGGAATTCCACATCAGGATGCGTTCCATACGTGTGCAACAGTGCCGCGGTTTCGACGACATCTTTGTCCAACTCATCCAGTTGGAACGTTGGGACTCCCTCTGCCACAGGAACGTCCTTGTCGTCGTCATTGTTGTTGTTGCCCGTCATATCCTTGGCGACCTGGAGAACGGGGGTCTTCTTGGTGTTGCTGTTGTTGTTGTTGTTGTCGGTGGTCAAGGACCACGAGAGCAGCTTGATGATAGAAGAAGAGAACTTCATTTTGCAATTGATAGGTATTGAATAGAAGATTGATAGAAAAGGTAATTGAAAGTAGGGGGGTTGATCTGGCCTAGGCTTATCAACAATCGCGAAAGTCTTCCTTGTTCGGTTGGGTATGCAACTCTAGCAATCCGGTTGAACAAAAAAGTGAGCTCATCATGGTGACATTCCATTTTTCCACCCCAATTTTCAGATGACAAATTCTGCCAGATGGATAATTTTGAAAAACGACATGTGATGAGACGAGACTGAGCCACTGATGAGTACTGACTATGGACCCTATAACACCCACAACACAGTTCCTGAGCCTCTCAGAGTAGTATGGATGATAGCTAGCTAGACACTTGGTTTTTAGTGTTGTTGTCTCCTTGCTGCGCTTGGATGGCTGATGGTGTTTGTTGCCGAAGAAGTTGAGCTGGCGGAGACTCAAAGGCTGCTGTGAGTTTTTATCAATTGGCCGTTTGGAAAAAGAAGGTGGTTCGCTTTACAGGTATTCATGTATTCATAATTAAAATTTGGTTCAAAGAGTCATTGATGATGCTCCCACTTTAACCCGCCAACCCGCCAAGTCTTTCGCTTGATGAAGTAGTCTAAGTGGAGTTTCTCGAAGATGACCCTTGGGAAAGAGAAGGTTGTTGGTGGTTCGCTTTATTTAACTAGGTTAGGCTCGTGTAGTCAGATACTGAGTAATTGGTTCAAAGAGTCATTAATGAAGTCACCAAGTCTTACCAGTCCAACCAGCGAGAAACCACCGTTTTTTACCACCGTTCACCCTGAACTTCCTTCCGCTTCAGCTTCCCCTCCGATGTCACAACCCACACAACTACCAGGTACTAGTACCAACACAACCCACAACATCCCTTCCTCAAACTCAGTATGGCATTGAGAAGATGACAATGATGAGTCCACCTGATAAACAGCAGACAATGAAGGAATTTCCTGGTGATGACGAGAAGGAAAGAAGCACGATGAACGCGAAGCATTGCCTTTTCTCTCCAAGTCGTTGTCATCATCCAAGCCGAGTGACAGTCAATTTCTATGTGGTGTTTCTGATACTGGTGTGTCTTCCTCTCCTGGCCGTTGGACTGCAAGAAGGAACCGGAAATGACATGACAGCCCAACGGCAGTACAACAGTACCTCCACAACTTCCACCTACATTCCTCGCCACATTTCTTCCGAACTCTGTCATTCGTTGGGCGAGACGGACTGTCGCCATGCCGATGCTTCCATGGCGATTCAACACGGCCACTACAATAAAGAGCAGCGTCGTCGCCAGTTGGAACCCAACTTGTCGTACGACACCAACGTGTTGGTCCTGTTGATGCAATTCACCGATCACACCGACCGATCGGTGCCGCCTCCGTACGAGTATCAACTCTTGCTCAATCTACGCGTCTCCAAATACTTGGAACTCAACTCGTACGGGGCCGTCAATGTCTGGTTTGATGTCATTCCGTGGCACGTTACGGACAATACCGAACTTCATTACAGTTTTGAACAGAGCGGACGCAATATTGAACTTCAAAACGCATTTCATCCGCTACTCAATGAGCTCTATGACACGCAACAAATGGACTTTTCACCCTATGACAAGAACGGCGATGGAGTCATTGACAATCTACTCATTATTCATTCTGGGTATCCTGCCGAAGTGGGAGGCATAGACTGTAAAAATTCAAGACCTGTGCATCAGCGAATATGGAGGTATGTACCATAATAATAGAAAGGCAGCAACAGTTTGATGCCATGAATCAAGCTTGACAAGTACTTTTCTGATCATGGTTCTTGCTTTTCGTTCTTCTCTCTTGGTTTACGCACAGCCACGCACTGGCCGATGTTTCCAAATACAATTGGGTCAGTTCCGACGGTGCCATGCGGACCAACGCCTACACATTTGCGGCGGGATTGCACGACGTGTGTGGCAGTGCCCCCTGCAAAACGGGAGTAGTGACGCACGAATTCTTTCATGCCTTTTCCGACATTCCCGATCTCTACGATACATCTCTCAATGACGAAGGCGCCCTAAAGTTGCAAGGACGCGGTGGTGTTGGATCGCTCGATATCATGGCCAATCCGTACGGTGTCAATGGCGACGATGAAGATTTCCCGTCGCATTTGAGTCCCTGGACCAAGATTCAAATGGGATGGATGGCGCCCACCAATGCCAACGCACAAGTCGATCCGGCAACCGGAAAGGGAACCTTTACACTGCGTCCGTCGGAACTCTATCCGGATGTATTAAAGATTACAATGGAAAATTTCATGGGGAGGGAATACTTTTTATTGGAAAATCGACAACGCAAGTTCTTTGACGTCAAGTTATTTGGGACCGGGGTGGCCATTTATCACGTCGATGAATCATCCGATGGACAAAACAATCGGGGATTTCCAGGACAATCGCAGTGGCCGACCAATGGCAATCATTACAAAGTGGCAGTGGTGCAAAAGGACGGACAGTATCATTTGGAACATGCCGAAAATCGAGGCGATGCAAATGACTTTTTCAATGTCGGTGACACACTCGGACCCAATGATGCCGATGGCAGAACCTGGCCCAATACCGATACGTACGGGCTGTGGAGTAGTGTCTTTCCCACGGGGATTGTCATTGAGGTGACGGGAAAGAACGGACTAGACATGGAAGTTACCGTGACAATCCCCAATGAATTGCAGGGAGCTGCCGCACCCATGAAAGAACAAGAGCCGCTGCCTGAAGTCGACAATACAGATGTGCTCAGTGGGAAATATGAAGCTGCGTGGTTCTTGGAAGATAGGAATGTTGGTCGGGATGATGAAGAACAGCAGGGGAATGATGAGGCAGCAGGTGGTGATGTGGGTGTGGGGTTTGTCGAGAGGCCACCGGAGCGCGACGAAGAGACTACCGATGCGCAGTCAACAGGGGATAGTGATGGTAGTGACACAGCAACAACTGATGGAACTGCAGACGGGGAGCCACCAGGTGTTCTTTTCAGCAGCAATCAGAAAGAACCTGGGGCTGATGCAAACGAGATGCAGGAGGAAGAAGACGAGGACTTTGTGGATGCCGTTCCCTCTAAGGAGACTTCTACTTCCAGCAATGCCACGGAAGGCATTTCCGTGGGAACTAGCAATGCGACAGCTGAGGCCGTGACCGCCAACACCGCGACAAGCGATGGCACTAGTGGGGAGACGAATGATGCAGCAGGCACCACAACCTCAAGTTTGGAAGATGACATGGAAGAGCTGTTCCCGAACTTGTTTGTCAATAGCACCGCAAAAGAGGAAGACGGTGCCGACGACGAAGGGGGCACTGCAGCTCCGACTGCCACAATAAATGCCTCGAGAGAGCCAACATCGTCGCCGTCACATGAGCCAACTGTGGATGGGACACATGTGGACGAGGTAGAGATTCTACCGATCATTGATGTGCTTTCGCCTTTCACATCCGCGGCGTGTTGCTTCGGGTCGAGCACTCTGCTACGAGCGGGTACGATCCTGTTGGTTGCCTTCCTTTGGCTGGGTTAGGGCAGGTCTTGGGTGACAGATGCTCTCGTAATACTCTTCGGGATGGGATATCGAGGGTCCGCTTGGTTTCGTGGATCGTCCAATTCTTCGTTTCTCCTCTTCAGTGTGCACTGCGGAGTGCGACACATGGCATGGTTGACGAGAAAGGAATGGTTCGATCTGAAAATGTTCAAACTTGGGCCCACAAAACATCCCAGAGATCGAGCGGTGTCGAGCTAGCTATAAAAACATGTGTGAAAGATACCGAGAGGTTTTTGCTGTGTGGCTAATAATGATTCTGATTCGCCTTGCGATCAAGAACGTTTGAGGCAACTTCAGCTTACTCGCACGGACCTACTGATCACGTTGCCTTACGGTTTAGTCACTACCAGTACCACGTACTGCCCATTGTCATGTCGTTGGTACCGGTACACAGTGTACCTGGCTCGTCGTTTCATCTCTTGTGCCGTATTCGCTTACATGTACTTCCGTTCCTACGTCGTTTCCGCTCCGACAGATAAATCATCCCGTTACCGGTACGGGTGAGCAGGTATTTACGAAAACGTGCAACGGCCGTCCGTGCGTGTCCTCTTCGACAGAAACGGACAGGTGATTGTGAGATACACAATCCCGGTTTTTTCAAAAACCGGGACTGTGTAATATACACCCTCAGAGTGTATAATACACAGTCCCGGATTTTTCAAAAACCGGGACTGTGTAATATACACCCTCAGCGTGTATATTACACAGTCCCGGATTTTGAAAAAACCGGGATTGTGTATTTACTGCAAGGGCCAAAAAAGGCTCGAAATTGCGTCATAAGGTTCGCGGACGGTTGGTACGTCGCACATACCGTTATCATACCTGGTGGTACCGGGAGATGCAGGAAAACACATTACACGCCTGTCGTTTTGACTTCTGCATGATAGTATTATTATTATTATTACTAATATTGCACACACCCAAGTAGCTACTAGTAGCTTGGTTGATTGTTGAAGCTTGGTTGATTGTTGACTGTCACGGCTATGGCTAATAGTGAGGCCGCCACTGGGTAACTACATACTACTAGATTTAATAATCGAAGACAATGATGATGATGAGTTCAACTCTCTTGTGGAAAATGTCATGCCTCCAGCTTGTCATGTGCAAATGCCATCTTCCAATGTGGCTAACGTGACTTCTTTCAGTGGAAGCAATGACAATGACAGTGCACCGGAGGATTCTCCTCAATTTGATCATACTGTTTGGGTACCCAAAAAACTTGTCAAACAGTGGGAGAATGAACATGGCATTCGCATGGCTACCATCATTTTCTGGTTGAGCAGTGGTACTACTCCCAAGGATGTGGAGACTGCTATTAATTCCAGTGGGCAGAAGCTATCCATCCGTGAGAAGTGGCATTGTGATTTGCTTGATGTAGCTGAATTCTATGAGCTATACCAACAATACACACAGGAACCCATTGGGGATACCAACGTCCGCAGCCATGCCATGAAACAGCATGTTCGATCCCTTGTTGATATCAAAGGCGAGCTCTACTCTCTCTACACCATGGATCTTCCATTTCAAGTTGATCCATCCACTTTGAATGTTACTTTCCCAGGATTTGAGTCTGGTACTTTGTACTGTCATGTGGATGTGGCTGAGAAGAAGAAGAAAGAAGAGGCACCAACCTTCATTATGAGGAAGAGGAGTGGCAAGGGAAGGAAGACAACTGAACCGGAATACAGCAGCTTCACACCCAACTAGACGCAAGAAATGTCATGGAATTTTTGTCTGCCTCTAGCAGACTGTGGACAATTCAAACAATCAACCATTTCATTCTAGGAGCAACTTGTTGAGTGCTCATGTACCTGGTAACAGTAAATTCAAATACAGTAGAGGTAGAGACCGATGCTCGGCATCTTGTTATCTTGTTCGGTAGCGCAAATCGACTTGGAACGCCGTGGAATGCGTTTTCCTGCAACTCCCCGGTAATAATCCAACCACCACACCAGGGTTCGCTAACCTGATATATTAGGTTACCGGTTACTTCCAAAAGAACCGGTAACCGGAACCTGATAAAGTAACATTTACACTAACCTGTTAAAAAATTCTATCAGGTTAGTAACCGATACACTAACCTAATACGATCTTTGCTAACGTGGGGAAATACTACTTGAATAGAGGGATCTTGTAGAGGTAGCTACCACCCGACGAGATCAACTGCAACTATTCAAGACGAGTGCAAGGTAGCAAAGTAAATGCAAAGTTCGCTTCTTAGTAATTCATAATCTGTGTTGTGAGCTTTGATTGATGCGATCAGTAAAGCTAGTTGTAGCGTGTTGGATCAATACATCGTGGTAGTTGATACGGAAGTCAACGTGGTATCTGCGGGAAACGGTTCGTTGCAGGATGCTTTACTCCTTCAAATACTCCAATTTACCGTTCTTTGGTTTCGTTGAGAACGTGTTCTTGCCAGCGTTCTCTGTTCCATCGTGTTGACTCATAAAACATGACTCAATCTACTCACGGATACTCTGAGTCGTGGGAGGAACTGTAACGCTTTCACTCCCTCAGTGGCGACTGTCGACTCTGAGTGTTTCTTACCGCATCCTTGGTATCTCCTGACCAAAACAGCAGTGCATTCAGCATAGGCCATACCGATGTATAGTCCCAGTGTTTGCTGAGGATATCTGCAGGGTTAGTAGATCCAGGGATATGATGAAATCTCAAGATACTTGCAGCAACGGCTTCCCTAGTACGGTGGTAGGAAAGCGCATTGTGTCTTTTGAGAATCTTTGAGTGTGGCATCGAGGCGGTGTTGACTACCGTCTCGTTGTCTCGAACATCATGGTCGGTGTGTCGACCAGTACTCCTAGGTACCTGAACGTGCTCCGTAGGTCAATGATCTGTTCAGTGGCGGTACGGGCTGCAACATACTCAGATCCGAACGTTGCGGTCTCGACTGTTGACTGTAGCTTGCTGAACCAGTCGATGGGAGTCTTGTTCGCTAGGTGTAGGACTCCGGTAACTGACCGGCCACTGATGAGATCGTGATAGAGGTTCGCATCCACATATGTGGTGAGAATGACCCGTTTGCCTCGAGGTACCGGTGCGTTGTGCGGCTGAACTTCTTTGGCACCATGGTAGCATGAGTATTCCCATTCGTACTCTTTCTTGGAATCGCTGAGTAATCCGGTTCCTCCTTTCGGATACGTATGATGCCGTGTCGCATCTTGGAAAGGTACCCGCAGATTCTCTTGACTCGCTCTAAGTGACCCATTCTTGGTGCTGCCCGAAATCTGGACATCGTATGGTGGCCGTGGCGATATCGAACCTTCCAATTTGGATTGCCCACTGTAGACTACCATGAGTGACTGATATATCTTTTGTGTGTTCCATATCGAGATAGCTCTGTTGTGTCAGTCTCTGGGTGGTCTCCTTTGATGAGTGGAGATGAACTTGTTTGGGCATGTGTCCGAAGATTCGTTGGTAGTTGCTGAGTACCTTCTCAATATATTTGCGAGGTGCGTAACTCAGTACTCCGTTCTCATCACGGAAGAAATACATCCTAGGTGGAAGCTGATGGCACCGGTTCCCTTTAGTTTGAACTTGTGCTCCCCTTCCAATGTCGCGATGATCTTGGATGCGTCTTTGCTGACAATAAGAGGTCGTCTACGTACACAGCATGTATTCGTAGTAGCTCCCTTTGTCTCTCATCCAGATGTCTGATTCGGCTTTTGAGGAAAGAATCCCATTGAACGAAGAACATCTGCAAATCGTTCATGCCATCGTAATCCGAAGATTGAGTCCGTATAGGCACGGCTGATGATGAGGGGCATCCTTCTCGATCTCCAAATTCGGGTCTGCGACACGTACACCTTCTCTTTCGTATATGATTCCAAGTAGGCTTTTCCAATGTCTGTTGCCCCTACCTCACAATCATTGTAGTTCTGCGAGGAATGTGAGGATACGAATCCCTCGTAACGAAACCACACTGGAATAGACGGAGTTCACTGTGTATCAGTGAGATTTCTTT